CCAAAAACATTATAAATTTTACTTCTCCCGCAATTTCAATAATCTTCTAAATACCTAAACAAAATACTTAAACTTAAACTTCTTATCTAAAATTTTCATTCAGTCTCCATAATCTTCTGCCCAATAGCCGATTGCGTCCACTATAAACACAATCCTTATCAGTCTCTCTTGCCCATAAGCATCGAAAGAAATGCATTAAAATCTGCCCTTGAAGATCGCTCCAAAAAATTTGTAAGTCCTGGTTCTCCCACAAACTCAGGAACCAATACCTGTGAAACTTCCTCAACCTCCTTCTTCTGTTGGTCTTTCCCTTTACGTTTACATGTTGCTTTTTCTTTACATTTATATGTTGCACAAGTCTCAGGAACCAATACCTGTGAGGTTTCCTCAACCTCCTTTTCTATACATTTATATGTTGGACAAGTTATCTTCTGGTCTTTCATCTCTTGTGGAACTTCCTTGAGCTTCTTCTGTTGATCCTTTTCTTTACAGTTATATGTTGCACAGGTTATCTTTTGCTCCTCCATCTCTACTTGTTGAGGCCTCCCATTTTTAATTAATATAGGCTCTTCAGACTGCAGTTCTGGCATTAAAGATTGCTCCAAAGAATTTATAAATCCTACTTCTCCCGCAGATTCAGGAACCAATACTTGTGGAACTTCCTTAGACTTCTTCTATTGATCCTTTTCTTTATAATTATATGTTACACAGGTTGTCTTCTGCTCCTCCATCTCTACTTGTTGAGGCCCCTCAAACTGAAGTTTCCCAATTTTCATAATTCTTAGCACTTCTGACTGCAGTTCTGCCTTTTTTTCTTCCAAAGCTTTAAACATGATAGGTGACGATGAGCATACCCCCAGGACCGAAGTATAAAAATCTTTTGCTTTAGAAACAGTATTAAGACTATAACGTATCCCCAGGTAGCTCACCACCATTCCAGTCGGAACATCCCATCTAAACAAAATTTGTCTCCTTTTAAGTTCATCTGCTAAAAAAGCAAACTCCTTTCTTCTTCTTAAAATTTTTGGTGGGATCTCCTTTAAAATTATAACATCTTGTGAAGCAATTTGAAACCTCTTCTTATAAAAAGCTTGTATAATTTCATTGCGCAGGGATCTTTTCCCAAAGTAAATTACCACATCTCTTGGCAAATTCTTTTGCTCTGCCACCACAGAGTTAACTCTAAATGTCTGATCAATTCCCCTAAGTATTTCCTCTTCTTCTCTGTTCAGAATCACAGCAAAGTCCTTTGCCACCATCTCTCTCAAATCTCCTTGCACAGACTCATGTAAACCTCTGATTCTTAAGGCATATTCCATTTGTTTATATTGAAGCATAAGAATCTCATCTTGAAAGTTTTTCATCTCTTTTTCCATACTTTCAAATTTTTCCTCCATCAATTCCAGTTTTTCTACTACCTCTTCTACGCGAGAGTTCAACTTTTCAAGAAAGAGGCAACTCCTTTTAAAGTCAAAACTATCTCTTGCCTCAAAGTCTTATTATTTTCCTCTAAAATCTCTTTCATTTCTCCCCTAATTTGAAGTATCATATCTTGCAAGTCCTTCACCATTGTTGACTGTGGCAAGGAAGAAGGTGAAACTATTAATTTAGGTTGTTGCCCTGACGATAACACCAAAGAAGAAGCCACCTTGGAAGCTGTAGAGATTACTGGACGCTTTGGGGCCATCTTAAAAAAACTTTACTCCTTCTTAAAAATTGCAAAAATTAAGCAAAAAAAAAATAAGAAATTAACTCCCTAAATTAAAAAAAAAAAATCCTTCAAGAGGGATCATTATTAAAAAGAAGGGAGTTCAAAAAAAAAGAAAAGAAAAAGGAGGAGAAGAAAAAAAATAATTAAATAAAAAAAATCCATTCCATTTTTTAAAAGTACCGAAAAATACAAAATACAAAACACGAAAATTAAACAAAAATAATAATACTAACACTCCATTCCAATCATAAAAAAAAGAAAAAAAGAAAAAAGGAAAGGGAAAAAAAGAAACACCAAAAAGCCTGCCGGTCACCATTCTAACTTCCGGGAAAAAAAACACCGAGAGGCTTGCCGATTGCCATTTTACTTTCCCTTTCAACAATGGGAAAAAAAAATAAAAAGAGGAAGTATAAAAGTAAAAACAAGTCTTGAAACTTAAAATCCAAATAAATCAAAGAAAGCAAAAACTAAATCCTCTACTCAGCTCTGTCCGTTTATAAAAAAAACCTCACCAGTTCTCTTTAATCACGGAGGTGGTTGCAGCGGCTCGTTTTGTCCCTAAGGACAAAAGCAGCTGGGAAGCGGAGACAAGTCTGAACTCCGTGGGAGCATCTTTTCACCCCCCAAAAGAAAAACTTGGGGGGTGCATAAGAGGCTCTACCACTATTCAGACAACTCTCTGCCCCCCCCTTTGCCCGGGAGGGGGTTTTGAACCGCTGAACAGCTGATGTCTGCTGTTCATAGCGGTTCTTACACTTACCCAGGAGGATGGCTACAAAGTAGCCGCCATCGCGTGGCAAATCCACCGGAAGCCCCCCAACACTGAAAGTTTTTAAGAAGAGACTGGACAACCATTTGTCTGAAATGGTATAGGGTTTCCTGCCTGAGTAGGGGGTTGCACTAGAAAATCTCCAAGATCCCTTCCAACTCTGTTGTTGTTGTTGTTGTTGTTGTTGTTGTTATGTTTCTCATTTGCCTCCCAATAGATACAGTATTTACGCCAGTTCCTATCCTCGTGAAGCATCTGCAATGTTTGCCTTACCAAATTTGCACAGCCTTCATGTGCACCATTGTGCTTGTTCCTAGATCAGTGGTTCTCAACCTGTGGGTCGGGACCCCATTTGGGGTCAAATGATCATTTCACGGGGGTCGCCAAACAACACAGTCCGCCATTTTTTTCCCCTTTTCCTTAGCTGTGCTACTCCCTTTTATTCTATTGGCTTTTGAAAGCCAATAGAATAGACTCTCTTGAATAGGAATTGTCCAGACTGTCTCTGCCCTGCTGAGCCCGCCAAAAGTCCCATTCTGTAAACGGTGCTGCACTAGTTGAGTAGTCCTCAACTTACGACCGGTTGAGTAGTCCTCGACTTACGACCAGTTGGGGGGTCGCGGCATTAAAAAGGTTGAGAACCACTGTCCTAGATCAAGCGGCTCCATTTGTGGACATCAAAGTCATCCTGTTGATTCTTGCCTGGGGATGCTTTGAAGCTACAATTAGAATTACAATGTCCAGAACACTGTGACACATGTAATTATTGGCATTGCTCAATACCCAGATATAACACCACTACCTGCCAACTTTACTAGCTTTCTACAGGTTTCTGAATCCAATTTAAGATGATGGCTATCACCATAGCCCACACTGCATACTGCCATCCCATTTGCAGGACTGCCTTCTCCCAATGATACCGAATAGGGCTCTTTCCTGGAACATCTGGATCAGGTTGGTTAGAAGAATGCAATACATTTGAATTCCCAATTAATTATTTATATTGGCTTTAGTTGCTATGTTTTGATATCTTTGTTTACTGATTATTATTATTTTTAATAGGGTTTATAGTCACATTGGTCACAGGTTGGGCAGCCATATAAAAGCTGTATAGTGAATAAATTCCCAGCCCTGTTTTACATGTCTTTGCCTTGATATTGCCAACAGCAAGGAAGTACTCAGGCTGATTCCATGGTTCCTTCTACTCATGGGAGCTATAAAGGTGTCAGCACTTAAATGCATAATTGTCATTTTTTTGTGTTGCTGTTTACTCTTACAATTTAAGTAAAAGTACATGTAGTATATACAGATATCTAGATCACAGTTAATAGGAATTTGTTTGAGTTGTTACCATACAGTTTAAACACCCAACACTTTACAGGCTGACATGCATCTAGTGATCCCTAAATAATGTGATAGTGAGATGCCTCCTTTCGGACAGATGTATTTTGCTACTCCATATTGGAGTTTTCTGGCTGTTGATATAAAGGTTGCCCTACCAGTATGGGTTGAGGTGTAGTTTCTTCCTTGATGGTACCTACATTACAGTATTGTTCATTTGCAATAGCAGTTAATATTGTTTCTGCTTCGACTGTTTATCTGGTGCTATTTCCTGCTTATCTGGATATTGGCTGCCAAGGAAAATGTGTTCTGGGCTATCCTTCCTTGACCTCTGATTGCATCTTTTCTTACATGGTACATTGATAGGCTTTATCTCTATGCATCTGTTGATGTCAATCTGTCTGAATGTCAAGCTTCCAGGAATTCCCCAGTATTTTATCTCAGCAGGCTGAATGGGGAATTCTGGGAGCTGACATCCATACATCTTAAAGTTGCGAAGGTTCAGAAACATTGGTCTGGAATTTCAACATTTTCCCAATTGGAAGTTGGCAGGGCAAGCTATATACTGCATAAACAGCCAGCAAACCTACTCTCCCTTGCATTGATGAAGTTACCTAGTCAGGTAATGAAAGCCAGAAAGCAATGAAGCTCAGAGAACACCAAGATCCCCAACAGTTCAACTCTGAACTACATATATTCCTTACTATTGGAACAGAATAAAATGGCAGCAGCTAGGCACAATTATTCTGGGTAAGCATAAGGGCAACCCAACAGGAGCACAAACAGTGCTTGCAGTGTGAGATTAAAGTGAATATGTCACTAGCTAAATAACACACAAACCAGTTAAGAACTAAAAGTCACTATGATTATCCTTGCCCAGGAAGAGAAATTGGTTTTAAAATATATGAATTGAGAAACCGGTATATATATATTTCTTTATTGAAGTTGTCTAAGACAGGCAAACTTTCACTTAGACCAAGAACTACCATTCATCTTAATAGGATTCTGATACTCAACTCAACTGATTGGGCCATATTGACTTGAAGCTGAAGATGTGCCTTTAAGAACTGGCATACTTTAGTAAGAAACCATCTCCGAAAGCAACAAAGCATGGAATGCTCTTCAGTCACTGTGGAGAATAACTTAAATGTAGTACATAAATAAACACACCAACACGAATTCTATACAAAACCTGAAATATTTTACTTTTAAAATTTTTATCTAAGTTTACTTAGATTTCATGGACTTGATACAAGAGCATTTGATATGAATTGGTAAATAAAACACTGTAATAGATAGCCACAATAAACTTTGTTAGAAATGTACATGTTGTGAAAATAATAATCATAAACATAAACATAAACATAATAATAATAATAATAAAACCAGCATGATGTCTGCGTTATATTATATAAATGCTTGACAATAACAGTATACTAGGGAAGCTTTAAAAAACTTGCTTAACTCTGGGGCCCTATTCAACTAACATTTTTTGACGCCGAGAATTCAGACCCAGTCCCTCACCATAACTAGAAACGTCAGTTAATAAGGCCTCAGTTGTTTTCTATAGCTGTTTTATTTTTTTCCTCATGGACATCACATCCAGGTAATGTGTATATAAACAAAGCTCATAAGAAATGTACAAATATAAAAAGCTACAAACATTAATAAATTACATCATCACAAAACACAGAAACACTTCACAAGGTGCTAATAAAATAATTGTATCCCCTCATAATACAAGAATTGAGACAAGGAGCTGGTATTATAAAGTCGAAGATTCTTCTTCATATTGTATCTTAAATAGATAATTTTGTACTATTATTTGATTTTGTATAAGGCTGCACAAAGTTTTACTTGTTTTTCAGGCAATGCCAAAATTAAAAAGGGGAGAAAAAGTAATTAAATCGAGGACAAAAACAGAGTATCTCTTTCAGAGTCAAGAACCTAAAATATACTCAGCAAAATACTCAGCAAAAAATTTGTATAAAGGTTAATGAACTATTCTATAGAAAGAAATGTCTAAAGATACTTTGATCTTATAAAAAAGAAGGTACTTTAAAAAGCTATTTACAGGCTAGATTCTATGAAAAAATATGCTTTCAGACACGTATCTATAAATGAAAATCTGGAATTGCCTGAGAAACAAATGTAACGCCTTAAGGCTACAATCCTGTACATAGTACTCTATACGTGAGAGTAAGTTCCATGGAACACAACAGGTTTGATAACTGAGAAAACATGCATAGGATTGTGCTCTAAGTGTTTATATGCAGACAAGCTAGTTTAATGTAAAATATAATGCATTCTACACCAAACACTAAGAGAGTTCAGAAGCAATAAGTATCCAGTTAAACTGTCGATAAGCTTGGCTCTCATCTGGCCTGACTCTTAGGTGAGCATAGACCTTGTTCCTTCAGACAAGCATATCTGAAAGGAAGTGCTTGGATATGAATGTCAGAATACCTCATTGATAGGGCTGCACATTCTTTCTACCTCATTACAGGGCTTGCAACTGAGGTTTATATAAACAGCTGATCTATTATATTACTAAATGGATTCATAAGCTCTAAAATGTTTATGTGTGTTCCTTTCTGAAAAAAAATAATTTCATTTCGGACAATTTTTTCTCCTGATATGCAGCTCAAGGAAAGGGTTTGGTTATAGATCAGAAAATAAGTGCTTGGGGTTCCAGGACAAGAGCTTCTTTGCTTGGTTTGTTTACATGATCTGGGGATTAATCCATGATTCAGGGAACTGAAGGTGAAAAAAGAACCATTGTCTTCCTCTGTTTCATCTCAGGATAACAGAAGTGATTTATGAGGTAAATCATCAATCATGAACTTAAGTGTGAACTGCGAGAGGGAGATTAAAAATCCCTTCCAAAAAATAAGGAAAAGAGATATTTGACTAAGGATGCCATTTTATAGGATGATGGTGATATGCCTGCCACCCACTCAGGTTGCATAAAGAAAACTGACACTTTGTCACTTTGCAGGACAAAGATTCTGGCAGCATCATCTTGGGATGAAACTGGCATCTCTTTTCCTACATATTCTCCAATTTCACATGTTATCATTGCATTGTGAGCATCCAAGCACAAGCTACAATGCTATCATCAAATTAATGGCTGATTCCACCCTACCATGAAATTAAATTAATGGGGAAATAATTTCAAAACGGCAATGCTGAATAAAAAATATACGGGAACAGGGGAAGAAATACTTCCAGTTTCCATGGTCATGTAAACAAATTTTAGCTACAACAGGTGAGAGAAAGAAAGAGAAAAAAAATCATCAAATTCAGACTGGATGTAAACACATGAATCCATTAACCATGATTTACAAAAGCACGATGGCTCTATTCACACAACATGTGAAACCAAAGCAAACAATGACGGTTTAAAATGATGGCCTGGTTCACACAACATACCAAGATATAGTATAGTCAATTTGATTTTGCTTTAGCCCCTGTAGGCTGAAAACCATGTTATATAAGTAGAGGGACAAGAGTCAGTGTTCTCAGTTTTGACTTTGAGATACTAATTGATTTGTAATGTTTTACTCAATTACACATAATTGTGAGATTTTAGCAGGGAGAGGCGGCTTGTTTCTGTTTGCTGATCTTTAATTCCTATCACTCATTGATATCCAATTATGAGAACAAAGACATTGAGCATGGGAAATATACTATGGGGCCAAAGTTAAAACAATATATATAAGAAAGAATGGGAGTGTTAAAAATTTATCAATGAAAAGAGATGCAAACCAACACCCAATCCATAATGTTTTTTTAAAAAAAATCATCTTGCATTGCACGTAAAATAAATTAATTCATCCATAGTTCTTCAAGGTGTGGTTATAGGGCAAGTTGTAGCAGAAGTGCAATTTTAACTTCTCTTCTGAATAAAATGTATTTACCATGAGCCAGATAAAGAAAACTAGATTATTTCTTTATGCATATTGTTTCGTGCATGTATTCTCTCTCAGTCATGGCATAATTTTTCCCCCTTGTCTACAAGTCAGCTTGAGAAACTTTTTTAAAATTCTGCCTTTTAACCAGATACCTCTTCAGAATTGGTTCGGCATTGATAAAAGAAGCGTAATGGAAATGAATGTGCATACTCTTAAAAAACAACGGCTTTTTCCTCACTTATAAACAAGTTAAAGGGATACTTTCCTAAAACTGGAATGATCCTCAGTGTCTTGGAGTATTAACTTTTTGCGAACTAGTCACTCTCAGCAATTTGAGAAAGGACATCTATATTAAAAAATATTTATAGCAGTATCTGTACAGGTTTTAACTGCTGAAAGTTAAAAAGAATTTATTAAAGTGGTGGCAAAAAGTTAACTGGTATTGTCCCTAAGATGTTGCGCAATACTACTGGAGTCCTTCAAGAGTTGAAGAGCTAGTGTGACAGCTCAGGATACGCTGAGCTCTGATAGTCCCAATTATAACCGGATTTTAAAGGAGAAGTTTCCCATTCCGATGAATTTTCAAAATCTTCCCAAGCCTTTGTTTAGCTGTGGCCATGCCTTTTTTTGTACGTTTCCCTGGAAGTAACGGAAAAGAGACACAGTAAGCCACAAAACAATAGCAACAGAAACCAAAAGAAACTAGAAGTTGAAGACAAATGCAACTGAAAATTGATTTATAAACATTCAACTACATTTCTCTTCGAAACAAAAGCATTTAATCAACACCCAGTTAAATGCTTTAAGCATCTCTACTTACCCCATAAGGCTGAAGATGAAGAGAATAGTTGCTTATAGCTATCTAATCAATTCAAAATTGAAGTAATATTTTGATTTGATAATTCCTAAATTCTCTATATTACTGCATGATTCTATGCATTGGAATAAGAAGCACATACATCACTAAATTACTGCCGCTCTAACTAATTTTTGCATGTACAGAAATGATGCACCACAGAAGGAACTATTATTGTATCGTCCTCTACACTAAGGTGGAGGATAGACAACATTTTTCTTCATCTGTTGAGAAAAAGCTGCTTAGTTATTCAGTTTCATCCTAAATTTGTTTATGAAACTGATTTATGAAACTGGTACTTTCAGATTAGTGCTTAGATTTTATAACAAGTAGTAAATGGTGTCATCTTCGATTCGAGTTTTTAAAAGTATTCTCTTTATGACATCTCCTGCCTGCTCCCTTCATTGCTGCTTCTTGAATTAGGCAAGGTTACAATTTGATCTATCTTGGGATCCATTTCCTAAGTGTTTCTGTGGATAATTTAATCCATTATATATTGTTTTGTCCATTCATGCCTCTCTCATAATAAAACAAATACCCCCCCATGTGCCAAGATACTAGGTGGTCAATTCAGGTTACAAACACAATTATTTTCAAATAAAAATGAGTACAATTTTTTTATCTGAACAGCTACAAGTGGATTTTGTGAATAAACTCTCAGTGACTTGCAAAGCCAAAGATTTATTTTGCATAGATTTTTCAGGATGAGTAAGAAATACAGAGACTGATTATTAATGTTTTATGTCAGTCAAAATCCATATGTATGCAATCATACTATTGAAAATACATTAAAGTCTTCTCCAAACTAATGCCGTCAAATATATTTGGACAGCAGATCTCAGAATTCCTAGTCAAAGCAAAAAAAAAAAAAGGAAGCATTTGATCATTAAGAGTAAATGTGGAAGATGGCTTCAAACTGGGCCTTCTCAGTACTGTTACAGTATGAGATTGAACCCAGGGCTTTTCCAAAGGCTGCCAGGATAAAGAATCCAGTATTAACAGAACCTCCATTTCTGAAAAATCCAGTTGTTATTCATCTAGTTCTTCAAAAGTGTTCCACATCTGTTCACCTTTCCAAACATATATGAACAAACGTCTGGAATATTTACAGCATCAGGAAAGAAAAACAACATAGACTCTGTGGAAGCCATCTGTTCGCCTTTTTTCAGCTGAAATATCCTTATGATTCCAAAGAACCAGATGCTGCTAGTTTATACTACCTGCATGGTTTTTTGGCATATTTCTTTACTGGGAGTACTGCAAGAATCTGAGATTTGCCAAATACTATATGTATGATAATTGTTGGGCAGCAACTAAATGACCTGAAAGCTATATTCGAAGTTTATGTACTTTGATTTTGGTTAGACCTTAAGACAAGGGCCCCCAATCCCTGGACCGCAGCCCACAACTGAGCTGTAGCCTATTTGAATGGCTGGCCGGAGCAAGTACACAGCTCAACTTGCACAAGCAGCGAGCCGGCAAGCACTTGCGTGTCTGCATGGTTGCCTGCCTCTCGTATAAGTCAAGCTTATATGCTTGACTTATATGCCCACTGCTTATGCAGGGCTGAATGCACATGTACCAGCCCACCACTCAAGCAGCCCAATTTCCCTCCCTCCCCAGCAGGGCCACCAAGCTATGAAGGTTGGGGACCACTGCCTTAAGAGATCCTTTTCTCTATATCCATATTTTACCCAATTCCACTGGGGAAAAAATTAAATTAAATTTGCTTTGCCACTTCTAAGAATGAAAAATCTTTCAATTAGAAAAAAAGTTACAAAATACAAAAAGCTAAAATTCTTACAAGTATTATTTAATGAATATCTGAGGACAATTATCTTAGCTCCCTTTGTAATTTCTATGGTACTACCTCTTCCTTTATTTTCTCTGTCATTGTGTAAGAGAAGAGCAGGCTAAAGTAGAAGACAGAGTTAAATGTGTCGTAAGTTTGGAATCATTGCGTTGCCACAATTCAGCCTCCCGTGAATTCTGTTAAATCTCATTTAATGCCAGTTTAGCTTTGATTAGATACTTGTATTAAAAGTAGCAATAATAAACTCTTCTGTGCTTTGAACTCAATGATTATTTGCACCTGATACACTGAGTCTGCAAGGGAGTTGCCCTCATGAATGGAGCACTCAGCATGGCATGGAGACATCCTTAGTGAAGGTGAACCTCAAATTATCTGAAGATAGGTGCTAATTTTCAGATAAATGTGAAGAACATATTGGTATTATTGTGATTCAAATTATTACTTGGAAGGTATCTGAATTGGAAAAGTAACATTTACAGCAAATACCAGGGTTTTAACATCATTATTAACATAAATGAGTATTTGGGAATTTATTTTAGAAAATACAAAAAGCATTAATTGATGAAATTTTAATCAATTTTATACATTTAAATTATATAAATTTGATTGAGTGAGTGCCTAATTTTAAAAAAGGTGAAATCTTTCGAGATTGTCCCTTAGACTGATCAGAAATGCTGCATTGGTTTTAATATCTTCAGATAAGTACTGCATTTCAAAACAAAATGCAAAATTAAGGTGGAACATTTAGAGCAGTGGTTCTCAACCTGTGGTCAGGATCCCATTTGGGGTCGAACGACCATTTCACGGGGGTCGCCAAACAACGCAGTCCGCCATTTTTCCCCCCTTTTCCTTAGCTGTGCTAGTCCCTTTTATTCTATTGGCTTTTGAAAGCCAATAGAATAGACTCTCTTGAATAGAGTCTAATTCTATTGGCTTTCAAAAGCCAATAGGAATTGTCCAGGCTGTCTCTGCCCTGCTGAGCCCGCCAAAAGTCCCATTCTGCAAACGGTGCTGCACCAGTTGAGTAGTCCTCGACTTACGACCGGTTGAGTAGTCCTCGACTTACGACTGGTTGGGGGTCACGGCATTAAAAAGGTTGAGAACCACTGATTTAGAGACTTAACTGTATTTGAAAAGCTTGTAACACAAAATTCAGAACACTAATTATTATGGAAAAGTGGCTCAAAAATTAAACATGTCAAAGATGATATAATTAAATGGATTCATAAGCTAAGTATGACCATTAATATGTAACAATGAGAATACTCACGAAAGATGACTATTTACAATGAATATTACACTCTTTTATAATATATTTATTGGATAAAACAGAAATTCACTGTTAATTATTTATTCTGAGGACTCGTATTACATCACTTAGCACCATTAATTACTGAATATGAATTTCGTATTAACAATGGTTTTTAAGTGCTTCATTGACAGAAAAAGATCATTATATGCAGCATTAATCCAATAGTACTTTGAAAATTCTTATTCCATTTGATGTTGCTGTAAATTTCTTCTATTTTTTTCCCTTGATTGTGCTTTCAAGTACTTGTTAAATAAAATAAATAAAATAAAAAAGGATAATAATGAAAGACATGTTGAGGTAAGCAAGAATGGGGAACCTGAGAACCTCCGGACCACATTTTACTTAGACCCATCTTACTTGCAATTGCTGAAAATGAATGCGCCATTTTCTTCCATTTTGAGATGGAAAAATGGATGGATATGTGGATGGATATATGGAAGTTAGAAGTAAACACTAGAACACGCAAACCTCCCTCGGGGAAAGGGGCCAGGAAAAGATCCAATATAAATTCTACCTTTGCCCAAGTGTATGACACAGTCCCATTTACTTTGCTTATTTCTCCATCACAATACAAAGTTTGCCTAACCATGATTTTAAAGGAGAAAGAAATATACACAGCTTTGACCTCCACACAGTTTATCATGTACAACCATAATAAGAACATCTGAAGAGTGGTTAAAAGTAACAGGAGTTCTCCTTTCAACTTGATTACATAAACACTACATAAAATACCCAACTCTGTATTTCCACTATTGGTGACTCAAGTGATCCTGCGGCTGCCCTCTCATGGTGCCTGGAGGCTGTGGGGGCTGGTATGGGGGGAAACAGGCTGAACCCTAGTAAGACCAAATGGCTTTGAGTATGTGGGGGTCCAGGATCCAGGATTTTGTCATGTTTGACTCTGGATGGGGTGGCACTGCCTCAGAAAAACCTGGTCTGCAACTTGGCGATATCCTGGACTCGCGAATGGCAATCGCGGCTAGGGGAGCCTTCGCACATCTTTGTGTTGTGCACCAGTTGTGGCCTTTCCTGGATCAGGATTCCTTACGCTCAGTCATTCAATCCCTTGTCTTCTCACAGCTGACCTATTGTAATGCATTTTACATGGGGCCACCCTTGAAGAGCATTAACAGATCCCACCTACCTCCCCCCCACATCCTCCCCATATGTCCTTGGTTTTAATATCTTTTTATGTTCTTAATTATATGTTACTGTAAGCCAATACATTTAAATAAACAAACAAACAAACAAATAAAATATAATAAAATAAATAAATAGAGCCTCAAAAAAAAACCCCTTTGATTGGCTGACCAAATCTTACACCATTCTTGAAACAAATCTATGGAGAGTACCTTTGGCAGCTGCATTATTCTGTGATGATGATGAGGCTCTCCGTTGTGTAAGGAAAACTCCCGGGGCCATGGGCTGAGGGCCTCTGTTCATTTGGGCCACCCCAAGAGTGCTGGCACCAGCTGTGTACTCATGGTCTGCTAAACTACTGCTATGGCACTCCAGCTGAGGTTCAGGAGAGCTGCCTTCCTGAGGGATTTTGTTGGCATTGTTGGGAGATAATTTCTTTTTGGTATTCTTTTTCTTCTTGCCCTTTTGCTCCTCCTTTCAAATCATGAGAGAAGGGGAGAGGGAGAGAAAAATAACAATCATTAGCTTTCAAAAGTGATAAACAGTCATTAAGGAAAGTGTTCTGATGTAGGAGAAGAGCAGGTAGAGCTAAGGGTCTGAGTTATACAAATCATTAGCCTAGAGTCATTACGTTCCCTGAAACCATCTAAGTCCAACACCTCATGAATTCTGTTGAGCCTTATCTGACACCAATTTAACACTGAACTTTAGTTGACTAGATTCTTGTGGATAGGCTTAAGCAATAAATCTTTTGAAGTTCAAAATAAAATATGGCCCCAATTCTTTGTGCCTGACACCTATTCAAAAAATGTATGCAAGAAAAGTGATGAGCATTGTGAAAAATGCAGACCAAGAGGTATGGAGACATTTTTAAAAAATATATGAGGAGCCAATTTTCTAATCCCACACCAAATTATTTGTCAATAATTTGATTTTTCAGAATCATTCATGGATGTTGATCCTAAAATATTCCACTGATATTTGCCTGTTGTGTAAGTTTTTCCATGAATTATGTGTATTGTCTGTAATATTTTAAGGTTGCTGAAAACATGTTAATCATTAGAACTGCTTTATACTTTTTAGAAATGTGATTCCTTTGTGATACAGAAAAATACCTGACAAAATATTTAAGTAATGAAACACAGCATTTAGCTTTTAGATGTCATGCATATTATCAAATATCTTGCTAGACAGCCGCTACACTTTAAAAAACAAACCAAAACCAAGAAGCTATGAACTTCATTGAGAAGTACTGTGAAATAATGATATCCCCCAAAAAAGTGCAGAATTGGTTTCTGAAAGGATACAACCTTTACTGTCCATAAATCCTTAATGCAGATCAATTGATACAACTTCAAAAACTGATTCAGCAGGAAAAAAAAACAAGATAGTCCAGTTGCCTTCTGGAAAAATCACATTTGGGACTAAGATTTGCAGCAATCTGATGCTTACTTTGCTCTACTTTGTTGCCCTATTTGTAGAACAATGCATTATGATATGGTTGGCATGTTTGCCTGGTCTGGGCTGAAGACAACTCAGAAGGACATTTCTAGGGTGGCCAACTGGAGAGTAAGTGTGTGCAGTGAGTAGAGGAACTGTGCAGAGAAAAGGAGAGGCAAATGGCAATAGAGCCAGTAGTGGTAAGGGGAGCAGCAGATCACAGGCTGCCTGCAGGTATCTGCATTAACCTTTAGGAGGTGAAATCAACATAAATTCCCAAAAGGCCTTCCATTTGAAAGACTAACATGGCATTCCAAGCACAGTTCTCAAAATGATTTAGAGAGACAACTCTCAGCACTGGCTGGTTTTCCATATAATTCTGAGGATTGTAGAACAGAATAATTCTTTAGACCAAAAGCAGGCCCTCCTCTGATAAATCTTCTCATTAGTAATTTTTTCATGGAAAACAATGATCCATGAAATGTTTCCAAAAAGAAACATTTTCGGGTAGTATTTGGAAAGCTCACCTGCTGAGATAACTTGGCAGCAGCTGCTGCCAGTCCAGTTTCAATAGAAGCAACTCTTGTACCTTCTCGGACCGGTCTGTCCTGCCGTGGTACTGATGGACCAACTCTTGCTAAATGCAGAAGGAAGATTAAACAATACAATTAGTAGGTAATAGAGCACATATATAATCCACATATATTGCTTATGACAGGACCATAACTACTACATTTCAGGCATTGTAGAGAAACAAATGCAAACTCTGTAATATTAAAAAATAAAGCCTCAGCCCTGATGGCAGAGTGGTTAGAATGCTGTATTGCAGGCTGGAGTCCTGCTGTCCACAATCTGGAGTTCGATCCTGATGGGGCTCAAGGTTGACTCAGCCTTCCATCCTTCCAAGGTCAGTAAAATTGTTGGGGGCAATAAGCTGACTCTGTAAACCGCTTAGAGAAGGCTGTAAAGGGGTATATAAGTCTAAGTACTACTGCTATTCCTATAAATATATAGGCTAGACTTACATACACTGTTAAACGTAAATTAAGTAAATATATTACTATGACCACATTATTAAGTTCTCGTAATTAAAGCAAACTTTCCCATGATTTCCACAGTTCTCCCCTCAACCCACCCACCCCATCCCCAGGAGAAGGAACTAGTGCAATTTTGATCATCAGTGTTTCAAAGCATTTTGGAATATTTGGCCCCCCAAAATATAAAAGCAGTGCCATTGTATGATTAGTGCACAAAATGCATTATTGGTCTGAGAAGATCTTAATTAAATCTAGAAAACTTCATAGAAATTCTTCACGAATACTACGGTTCTGATCTCCAAAGTCCAATCCTTAAAATAAGCATGATGTGCAGTTCTCTCCTCTCTATCTGTGTCTTTTGTAATATTAAAAAGTAATAAAGAAAGCAGACTGAATACTAACAGGCCAGGGCAAGCTACTCGGGAATCAGATATTTTCCATATTAAAATTTATTTAATTGTCGTTCAATGTATGCCATGTACACATATCTCTGAAATGTATCATGAGTTTATCCTGTATAAGTTTGCATTTAAAATATCATAAATATTACCTGTGGGGCTGTAAGGTGCATCATCGGAACTTTTCCTCTTTTTTGATCGAGATTTGAACACTGGATTATCTTCATCTGATTCAAGGGAGGGATAAACTAAACCATGAAAAAAAAAAAAAGATAGTCTGGTATAGCATTCAAAAATTAGGGCAACCCTATCATGCTTGTAGAAAATGGACCAATGTCTCAATTCCCATAAAACTGTATAACTGACTTTGGCTTTTCTGTGCTGTGAACTTGAAGCAGCCACAAATATAGCTACTGGCAGACTGAAACCTTTTCCTGCCTTTTCTATGTTTTGCAGCTGGCTGGTCTCCTAAGTTAGGAAAGCAGTGGAATAAGGCTATTCAGATAATAACCCAGGATGAGACAAAGTTCAGTGGAGAGCAATGTAATTTATGTTCTTAAACTTTTTCAAAAATATTTTTACTGAATTTTAAAAACATTAAAGTGTCCTGTAAACCATTATTCATAGTCACAAATATGTAAGTAGACCATAATATACTTGCTTAAAAAGAAAAACAAACAGAAAGGACCATTTTCCATTACAAGGAGAAAATATCCTATTGCCCTGATATATACACCTACGCACGCACAAACACACACACACACACACACACACACACACACACACACACATTCCTCAGTTTAGGACTACAATTGGGACTGGACAGTTTGGCTTTCCCATTGACTATGCTTGTCAGAAACTGAATGAAAAGGTCGTAAATGGTGGTCATGGGACCCTGGGTTGCTGCAACTGTCATAAATGTGAGCTGATTGCCAAGCACCCAATCATGATCAAGTGACCATCGGGACATTGATACAATGGTAAGTGCAAAGATTGGTCATAAGTCACTTTCTTTAGTGCCATTGTAACTTCAAATGGTCCCTAAAAAAATTAAGTTTAAGATTAAGTTTAATATGTGTGTGGCATTGGTAGAAATTAAATACATGAACAACTGGTTCTCTGCGTGGACGCCATTTCCAGAAGTCCGTTCTGTGCCTGGGCCTCTGAGGCCCAGAACGGACTTCTGGAAGTGGTGCCCATGCACTTCCGGTGGGCTGTCCTGGACCTCTGAGGCCACCTCTGGGCCTCCAAGGCCAGAACCGACTTCAAGAAGCAGTGTCCATGAACTTCCGGAGGTCCGTTCTGGGCCTTGCGAAAAAGGGCTAGGGCTTCAGTGGGTGTCAGCCAGTTCGTCGAACTAACAAAAAGCCAAACCGGTGCAAATCAGCTGAATTGGTGTGTAGGTGTGTATAGGTGTGTGTATGTATGTAGTCTTTATAGGTAGTCTTTGCTTACTGACTGCCTTGTTTAGGAATTATTTGAAACTACAACAGTGTAAAAAAAAAACCTTTGCAACCAGTCCTTGTATTTATGACCATCACAGAGCCCCATGGTCATGTGATTGCCATTTAGGCACTTTTTATTTATTTATTTATTTATGAGACTTATATACCGCTTTAAGTGCAAGCACTCTCTAAGCGGTGTACACCAGTAAGCAATGTATATATATATTTACATTGCCCCCAACAATCTGGGTCCTCATTTTACCTACCCCGGAAGGATGGAAGGCTGAGTCAACCTTGAGCTGGTGAGATGTCAACCAATGTCCATTTACAGCCACCTTGATCATTTGCATGTTTTCCAACCAGCTTGTGACAAGCAATGGAGAACATGAACTTTAAATACAAGTCAGAGTCATGTGTTATTTCGCTTAATAAGTTTAGTAACTCACTTAATGACCGAATGGGAAGTTACTTTGCAAGTCTGACATGGTCATGTGGTTTTTCTACTTTGTATCTGAGGCACTTAGTAACAGAATTGCTGGTTTCAATTGTGGTTGCTAAGTGAAGCCTATGTGCATGTGTGTGCCGCTTTCTCTGCCACAATGCTCCCTAATACTCCATTTTTACTTTGTAGGGACATTTCTCTTTTCCATTCAATAATTCCCAGTTTCTAGTCTAAATTGCATTAAAATCTGAAGTAAATCCAAGTTAACTAGATAACCTATCCAAAATGGAGATTTTGTTTTCATTTCTTCTGTTAGGCCAATGATGTATATACATTGGAAGTAATTGCATCAGTTTAACCGCTGAATGAAAATGTGCTGACCAGATGTGGCACTAATGGAATCTTGGTGGACTAACCATCTTACAACAAAGCAAAGCTATTAAGTGGTAGCATAAATACATAATTAGCAAGAATGTTGATCTCCCCAGAACAAACTTCTCTTCTTTCAGGATGTCACATTTAGAGCGTGTCTCTACATTACACTTTTGCCGAGTTTTAAAGTTAATTTAACTTGAGTGATATGTCTTCAGGTAACATAATTTTAACATCTGTTTATGTTTTGTCAAATCTCTATAATGGTCACGTTTTCATTTACTTTCAGAGAATTTCAATATGTATATATTCAGTGCATTATGCTGAAAGCAGAGAAAAATTACATCTTTTGAAGGAGTTGTACCAAAGACAGCTATTTTAATGCAATGTTGTACATGGTCCTAATAGCTATATATTTCTTAGAAGCTAAATAATACTGTCTGTCTATCTCTGTTTTTATATACATTCAAAGTTTGTCACTTTTTCAGTTTATTTTTTTGCTGCCTTTGAGCCAGTCTTGACTCCTGATGATTGCCTGAACTAGTAGTCTCTGCAGTTTTCTTGGCAATATCTTCAGAAGTGGCTTGCTATGACCTTCTTCCTAAGACTGGCTGGCCCAAAGTTATCCCACTATGTTTCATAGCTAAGGGGGGGGGGCTAAAATTCAGTGTCCCATGTTCTAGACTGGTGCCTTAATCATTACACCAAACTAATTCTCCTTCTGATAAAGGTAAAGGTAAAGCTTTCCCCTGTCCAGTCGTTTCTGAGTAGTGCTCATCTCTGTTTGTTAGCCAAGTGAGCCAGCACTGTCTGAAGACATTTCCGTGATCATGTGGCCAGCATCACTATATGGCGGGGAACATATTGGGGGTTACCTTCTCACCAAAGTGTTACCTATTTATCTACTTGCATTTGCATGCTTTCGAACTGATAGTGGGCAGGAAGTGGGGCTAGTAATAGAAGCTCACTCTGTTGCATGATGCTCAGTCTTGAACCCAGCCTGTCAGCTTTCCAGCTGACAAGCTCAGTGTCCTTAACCACTGAGCCATCACACCCTTCCTTCTACTATTATCATTCCAGTAAAAAATGAAATTATTCTAACTTTGATGAAGTTCTAATAAGTGCTTTGAATCACTCAATCATTAATTTTAAAAGAATTACACAACTTTCTGTTTTTCTCCCCCTTACCCCAGATCTGAACTGGCACTCTGCAAAATAAGCTGCTTTTTAAAAATTGTCAAATATGATACATAATGGACTGGAAATTAATGATGAAGACTAACTCTGAGGGATCTGTCTACACATTTCTCAACTGGGATTATATGGTTGATAAGGGCAATAACTTTCCTGAACAAAAACTTGGGAAAACAAATTTTGTTTTGCATAGCTAAGCTAAAGTGGTAGTTCTGAACTTAAAAGATGCCCAGTTCTTGGAATCTGCTTTAATCAACATAAAGGTAAGTTTTTATGCTGGGGCATCAGAAATTATCCTTACACACAGGAACATAAGGAAAAATAATTTGAATTCAGTGTTGTAATAGTGTACAACATAAAAAATCCTGGGTCAAACACCTTTACACTATCCAAGTAAGCAAACCATACAGAATTAGAATGCCACTTACAAAATTCTGCTATCAGATTAAGGCAGAAGATAAGCAAGGGAACTGTTAATCAGATAATATGCAGATCTTACACCTTGGAGTTGATATTTAGTTTCCTTCAAACAACTCATGTATCATAAGCCTCAACGTTCATTCAAACTTAAGTTTTAGCTGGTCTTACTTTGAAAATTTGAAATCTCTCAGCTGAAAAATTTGTTGCAAACTCCCCTTTCTGTGTCACAAAGAGAAAGCATCTGAGCATATGTAATGTTCACTTCATATCAGCTATGCAGGACAGACTATCGGCAAACTTTTGGTTCTCTGCCTCAGGAATTTTAACAATGAAACAGGTTGCTACTCTTTTCAGCTTCAGAAGAGCTACCTTCAGAAGAGCTATCTTAAGACATTTCACTGCCTTTCAATAATTATTGTCCAGGGGAGAACTTAAGCAGGATTTTCATACCATAATCAGAATCTTTAAAACAGGCATCTAAGTGGTCCTGGTCTTCATAATAATCTTCAATATCAATGCTGTTTTTTGCAGTCTTTTTCAACAATCGTTTGCCTGCATTTTTGCTATTGCTGCTTCCAGATTTTTTGGAATTGGGGGCAGACATGGAATTATTCTTAGCTTGATTGGTGCCCCATGAAGGCTGTAGGCAAGAGTCTGAAGACTGGAGATTTGCCATTGATAACATCCCTTGGATAGCTTCCTGTGTGCTGGGAGATGCCGGTGGTTGACTAAAAGAGAAGAAAGAGGAAAAAGAGAAACCATTCAAAATTAAAGCAAATATAGGAGTTACAGAATAAATAGATAATATTAAATTTTTTGCATCTAACTCATCCACTGTAATATGTGTGGCTTTTTTCCACCACCTTCTTAGGTCAAACAGATCAAACCCCCACCCCCAGTAGGCAAATGTATAGGATCAAATTAGACATTGTGGAGAGAAACATAGAGAAACCAGGAGAAGGGATTTCAGAGGCCCATTTGAAACATGAGAGTACTTTCAACTCCCATCTGAAGTTACAATAACTTTCAACATTTCTTTCTTCTAGGGTAAGATAGAATGAAAGAAACAGTTTTATCAATTGAATATTTTAATTGGATCCATCCGTTATATTTAAATACATGTACAATACAATTGTCATGAAAATTCTAGAATGGATGTTGTGATGTTATATTGCATTGCTAAATTCAGAATTGTGGATGTTTTTTTTTAATTGATTCAAATGCTATTGTATTTTTTTCTTACAAGGTAACTTGTTAAAAGGGATGAAATAGGTGACAAACAATTCAAGAGAGAAGCACATATTTTTCTCCTCCTAATCTCTCATTTTGGTTGGCTGTAACTCTCTTGTTTTGCTTATTTTCAACAACAATGGGTTCTATCAATTTACTCTAACAAAGTATTATCTAAATAATTCCAGTTAGTTTTTTTCAAGTGAGAAACACTGTAGGGAAATGGAAATTTGCATTTAATACTTGAAAACAAAACAAGACAAGAAATGAAAGTCCAAGAAAAATCTCTTTGAGAACTGCAGGGAACAAGATCAGATCTGCAACACAAAATCTATAGATCACTGCAGATCACAGTATAATTCCAGATGCCATTGGGGTAGCTGTTTACAGTTCTACACTGCAATGTTGCTGATTCCACAATGATCTGCATGAGTGAAGGAAATACTTTATCTGACTTCATCATAACAATCATCAACCAAAAACTTGATAAGCCTGGAATGTTTTAAAGCAAAGATCCTTGGACTGATAAAATCATAATTGCTTTGGCTACAATTGCACAAGATACACTGAGGGGGGAAGGGTGATGAAAAAGGCTCTGTTATGCTTTGGTATTGTGTGACAGCTATTGCCATTGAAAATACTGGCGGGGAGGGAGGGGAAGATTCAACTAAATATCAACATACGCTATGTGAAGAAACTGAAGTTGATATAAGCTGGCTCTTTCAGCAAGAAAGCAAGCCAAACCATTATATGTTTTCAAATCAACCATGAAGTATTGACAGGAAAGAAAAGTAAATGTTTCATACTGGCCTACACAGCTGCAGAATATTATTAAAAATTGGGGTGGGGGGATTTCAGACATGCAATGCATATAGGAGATCTATTTCTGATCTAGAAGACCTCTGCAGGAAGAATTTTTTTCAAAAAGAAAAAAAAGTCCAAAGGCTCAACTGGCTACTATTTCCACCAAAGGTGTTGCAAATTACTGATTGAAAGGGAGTTTTGCATCTGTCGTGATCATTGTTTGTTTTGAGTGCAAAAGCAGCTGCCCATTAATAGTCAGCATGCATTCATATTTGCAGAAAGATATGTTGTTGAGCTTTGTATCATGCTAATGTATCAGCATCCATGCAACTGTATTTAGAAGTCAATTTTCTTGTGAGGAGCCCTGAAGAAATGAAAACAGCAACGGTAGCTCTTTTTAGTAAGACAGGATATGGGTGAGCACTTGCTTCCCCTCATTAAGAAAATGAATTCAAAAGAGAAATTAGTGAAAAGAGAGCCAATATATCAACCTATTCTAGAATATGTTAGACTTAGGAAAAGCATCCTACGATGTTCAGCAGCTTATGTTTGGATCACTTTTGGATGGTGTTGGTGTTTTAAGGAATTTGTCCCTTTTGTAGTGCTGTGCCAAAAATTAGCAAACCTGATTTTATTACTATCATCAACTCCAAGAGCATTTAAGACATTTGTTTGTTTTCTCAGAGAGTTCTCTTAAAACCTTGAACCTTGAATCAAATGTAAATGGACCATCAAAAGTTGCCTGCCAAATGTGAAAATTAGAGGGGAACTGCCTAAAGGAAGGTGAGTGTAGCAAATAAATTGTGGGATCTGATCAAAACCAGTGGCTGGGCAGACAGAGGGAAACCAGGTTCTTTACAAATTCTTAAAGTGACAGAGCATTCAAGCACGAACTCAAATGGAAGAGTCTCCTAAAGGATTGGGTTGTTTTGTTTTTGTTTTTTTTTAACTGAACTGCCTGTCACTTTGCCTTGGGCTTAAAGATCCTGTTGCCCTGTTCTTAAACAATTTCCTTAATATCAATAAGATCTGTGCAAGAAATGTTTACATTGGATTGCGCCCAATGTTTTTTTCATTAAGGATATTTGCATGTTAGCAATTCTGGATCTACTCAAAGTAAAATATAAAACAGGAAACAATTATTAAACCCTGGAAAATCATATCCCCTGTTTGTACTTTTAGTGATTATTAGCATATACTTTTCTTTAATGAGAGCAAATGCTGAAAGAAGAGGATTTTTTTTATATGTAGTGAATGGCTGGTGCCAAATTCTACACATCATTAAGATTGGTTCTATGGCTGAATATAATAACATAATCATAGATTTTAAAACCTATGTGTGATAAGTTTTGACTGTCACAATTTGACAGTCAACAAAAGGTGAGGAGGAAGATATTTGAGCAATTTGTTCTGTTTATAACTTGGTTTCCAGGCCTACCCACCCCCTGTCCCTTCTATTTTTTATTCTTATGTTTATCAATGTAAGTTTGTGTTGATCCTTTAATGCTTTTGTATATGATTCTGTTGCACTATTATTTGTCAGTTAGTACTAAATAAATTTAGTGATAGATTTTATCTTTCTGGGCTCCAAGATCACTGCAGATGGGGACTGCAGCCAAGAAATTAAAAGACGCTTGCTTCTGGGGAGGAAAGCTATGGCAAATCTAGACAGCATAGTAAAAAGCAGAGACATCACCCTGCCAAGAAAAGTACGTATAGTCAAGGCCATGGTTTTCCCAGTTGCAATGTATGGCTGTGAAAATTGGACCATAAAAAAAGGCTGAGTGCCAAAGAATTGAGCCCTTTGAACTATGGTGCTGGAGAAGACTCCTGCGAGTCCCTTGAACTGCAAAGCAATCAAACCGGTCAGTCCTAGAGGAGATCAACCCTGACTGCTCTTTAGAAGGCCAGATCCTGAAGTTGAAACTCAAATACTTTGGCCACCTAATGAGAAGGAAGGACTCACTGAAGAAGAGCCTAATGTTGGGAAAAATTGAGGGCAGTAGAAGAAGGGGACGACAGAGAATGAAGTGGCTGGATAGAATCACTGAAGCAGTAGGCATGAGCTTAAATGGACTCCAGAAGATGGTAGAGGACAGGAAGGCCTGGAGGAACATTGTCCATGGGGTCGTGATGGGTCAGACATGATTTCGCAACTAACAACAACTAACTAAATTTAAAAAGGTATATAGAGAGGAGAAGTATGCAAAATGCAGCTTTTGCAGTAAAATATTTATATCTAATTTTACCTGTGTCAAAACTATTATTAGTTCTGTCATTCTGCCAGCTTTGTCTTGAATAAAGAAACTTTAACTGTTCAGTTCATGCCTTATATGTGATTTTTAAAAAGTTCTATATGTAATTACAAAAAACATTTCTCTGCGAAGAGAACATAATTACAATATAAATTCTAGTGCATTACGAATAATAATTATTTGTCTAAATGTGAAGTATAAAAAATTGTTCCAGTTCTTTTATCTAGACACAATCTGTCTGTTTTTCCATTTCTGCTATATCAAGAATCTACTTTATCCAGAATAATTCAGAAAAGCAACATGATTGTGATAAAAGTATTAGAAACCTTATTGGGGGAAAAATTTGGTGACTTCTGTACCTTGATATATTATTTCTATAGCACAGGTCCACAAATCTGTGCCTGTTTAGAGATTCTCCAAATACAATTCCAATTTGCAAAGTATAGCTTGCTTTCTATAGAAAGATCTAGCATCTCTCTAGCTATGAATCTAGTATCAATACCTGCATCTTTGTGTATGGTACTACTTGTGATTTCAGAAGGGCAACACTATATAGAAACCTATTTAGATGAATAAATTGCATCAGGTGCAGTGATGAGTACTGGACAGTCAGATCAATTGCTGTCTTAGTTTTCTAAATTCCTTCAGAACAGGGCTAACCCCTACACTGTGAGATACTGTAGCGCAGCAAAGCTCAGCCACCAGATATTTATGGTACAAAGGATTGTTCCAACAACGGAAGGGGTATTTTGTCCACAAACTTCTCAAACATAGATTTAATAACATCTGTCAGATTTGCTTGACCAACTCCAAATTGATTTAGAAATGCTTCTCAATGAAATACAGAATGATTTATACCTTGAGTTTTCCTGGAATTTTATTTATTCCTAATAATTTGTTTGAAGCAAACTTGTAATGTCCTACTTTGAAATTAATTGTGAGATAAATACAGTATGCAGCCTAGCAAAGTATCCCTTTTATAAAAATATATATATTAGTCAAAGTAATTGTCCTAACAAATCAGAGATCATCAACTCAATGGATTACTAATGGTTGTACAAACCACATGATTAAGCTACAAATATTGGAACTAAGGTAATGCCCTAGGATAGCTAATTTAGACTGGGAAGTGGGGAGAGCTAAGATTTGCATTTGCCTTTGAGTGGGATATTGAGGGTGAATCTCAAAAGGTAGACTGAATCAGATGAGCCTCCCAAATGTAATTATATTAATGCAACATAAATTGTATCAAATGAATACATATAATTATTCATGCACATTTAATCATTTTCCCGGCAACTACATTAAATCATTATAATATTGTGGTGACCTTTGGCCGGGTTCTGAGGACCATGGCTTTTAGGGGTCGTATATGATTCATTGTACAAAAAAATCTACCAAAACTGGTTAAATCTTTATACCTACCCAAAACGTTATCTTTTAACCACTAAACTATGTTATGTGAAATGTAATTCATAAGGAACAGGTTTTAATTCTTCACTGAAGGATTCAGGTTACTTTGAACAACCTTAAATGAACCAGTGAAGTGGAAAGTGTCTCAGGAAAGCTTCTGCCTGAATATATGTACTAATCTTTAAGATGCCACAATAGTCTCCATCATTTTTTGATATAAAGAGTAATTTACAGACAGAGAAAATGCAGTTTAAATGTGAAGAGATAGGTTGTGCATCTTGATTGGGACAGGAAAAGGAAGTTTAGATTACCTGTGGGAATCCATGTGCACCTTTCAGCAACTCCTTTGAAAAAAAACAGATTTGTCTACGTTTTTTCCTGAGCTTTTCAAACCAACTTTATCTAGTGCAGGGGTAGGCAACCTGGGCTCTTTTATGACTCATGGACTTCAACTCCCAGAATTCCAGGTTGCCTACCCCTGATCTAGTGCATCCTTTCAATGAAGCAATAATTAGGAAAATGAGCAAATGGATAATATATATTTTGCTACATAAATTGATTTTTATATTCTCTTAATTAGATTATTTAAAATATAACAGGATTTTTATTACTATGGTGCATCTCCCAACCTGGCTAAACTTTCACAATATACTGAAGTCTTGGATGTTTCCCCAGGCATTTGAGTCTGTTGTGATTGATATGGTCTTTGTTTATTCTTAGGTGGACTCACTCACATATGGTGGGTTCTCTAATGTTTTAACCTTTATAAGATACTCAGCTTCACTTGTGGCAGCTATATAAATCAAATAAATATTATAAATACATATTATTTAAAGAAAGAGGTTAACCATCCTTATGCATACCTACCTGTTGCTGTTATACTCTAAACCCCCAACTTCTTTGCTTGCCTGCAAAAGATCTAGAATGCCTGCTGAACTTGCAGTCTCTTTCTTCGCTTTAGAATTGCGCCCTGGCTTGGCCTCGGTGTCAATGTGAAGAGAATCTTCATCAGAGGAGTCATCACTCTGCAAAAATCAAAGGAAAAGAGTATAACGCACAGTCACTCGTGCCCTGATCATCTCCAGAGCGGATTACTATACCATGCTTTAGGCATGGCTGCTCTTGAAAAGCATCTGGAAGCTTCAGATGCTGTGGAGTGCGGCTGCATGGACAGTGTGGTGCATATCACATCTTGAACTATGCGGGCTGCTAGTCTGCTTCTGGATGCAATTCAAGTTGCTGGTTTTGAGCTTTAAAGTCCTACGTGGCATGGGACCAGGTTATCTGAAGAACCACTTTTTAGCTCCCCCCCATGGGTTCCCAGAAGTCATTGAAAAAATCATGCTTAACCTTTCTGGAAGGTTAAAAGGGGTGGGATTCTGTGGGTGGGGGCGGGATGATGCCTCAGATATCAAAGGCCACTGTGGAGAAGAAATGTCTTTTGGATCTCATCAAATGGAACTCCTTAGTAGATGAGACCGACAATATACCCATCTTGTAAGGAGTTCCATCTGATGAGATCCAGAAGACATGTCTTCTCCACAGTGGTCTTTGCTATCTGAAGCATCATCCTGCCCCCACCCAGAGATTAGCCCCACCCCTTTTAACCTTCCCAAAAGTCTAAGCATGATTTTTCCAGTGACTTCTGGGAACCCGGGGAGGGGGGCTAGGTGATGGTTGCATTATAAGAGTTGATTAGTATTCTCCCCTGCCTTGGTTTTTCTATTTTTTATTTTTATTTATACTTTTTAGTATTTTAATGATTGCTACACTGTTTTGGTTCTCACTATGATTGTACATTGCCCAGAATCATGTTTTGTGAGATGGGCAGCTATATAAACCTATTAAATAAATAAACAAACAAACAAACAAACATTGTACTAATTGGACTTATTTGACAGATATTATTAGAAAAATGGTTTTGCACAATAAACACTACTTTTAATCATCTAGAAAGACAGATTCTAAATGTTTCTATTGAATTCGGCTGATGTATTAAGAAGAAGACGATTCTTGTTTGGCTCTATATCCTCAAATCCAGTTCCTGAAGATTCTCCAACTCACAGAATTATTAATTAATTATTATTAAGAAGCAAAAGGTTGGTTGCATCAGAGAGGGGAGAAAAAGAAAAACCCCTGTGTTACTTGAAGGCCACTAGAGGGGCACTAGGTTCCAGATTGAAGCTGTTTCCATAAACCAGTGAAATCACTCATCTAACTACTGGTAGCATAACATAGTTAACATTTGACTTGTAGTAGATACCCTGAGTGTCAGCAGAAAATGTCCTCTACCCTGTTTGGAGAAGGGTTTTTTTGTGTGTAACCAAATGATAAATACAGTATTGTGTCAAAATGTACTTATTCATCACTGGAAAAGACACTTGATGGAATGGATTCTTCCCAGAGCTATAAATCCATTCCAGAGGACTGAATTGAAGAAGATTGCAAGGAATTAAAGATAAATGAATAGAACTTTCTGTAGCATACAGACAGATGTTAATTTCTACAGGGAAAGAAATGTACTGTAGAGAGAAAATACTTTTCTTGTCAGTGTCTAAAAGCAATAAATATGCAATGCATGTTTATAATTTTGGTAAGTAATCCTTTTAGATATGAGAATGATTATATATTGAGAGAATACCTTGTATAATACTGATTCCACTTTTGGTTTCTTCACTGGAGTGTGCTGTGTGGTTTCTTTTTTATCTGATAAAACTAGGACGAAATTGAAGTAGAGATTTTAGCTTTAAATACTAAATAAAAAACCAGCATGTAGGCAATCCATCTCATTTTTAAAATGTATTTCCAATTACCCTGGTAATATTTCATTTCTACACATGCACTCTTAGCTAAAAGGTCTTCATGCACATGTATTGAATCATTCCCCAAATATAACAAATCTGCAAATAGGTTAAACAAAGCTGGGGGGGAAATAATACTGTCCAAACAATCAGACTCACACCTGCAACAATATGTGACTTGACTGTTGCAACTCTTTAAGGGCCACACAGAGACTTTGGTAGTCATTACTTTTAACCGAAAGTTATCTTCATCTCAGTTTGTTTTGTTTTTGCTTTGCTGTGATGAATAGCATAATTTACACAAGAGTAGAAAGCGTCTTACATGATAAATCTCTTTTCGTGGTGTTTTTCTTCCTTCTAATTGGAAATTCATCTATCTTCAATTCTCCATCATCTGAGACATATTCATATTCGTCTTTCACAGGTTTTGCTTTATCTTCTTTGAAATTTTGCTGTGACCCAAATATACCAGGATTCAACTGAGTTTTCATTCCCTTTGATCTATTAAAATAAAGGAAATTGAATCAGGAAGGACAATACTGAAACAAGTTTTAAATAAGAAATTTCATCGTATTACAGCTACTTTGACCTACGGTAAATAACGAATATTTAGAATTTACAAGTGGGTATATGTAGAGAAACAGTGCACTACATAAATACATTTTCCAATATTACTGGAAAGCAACCAGCAAGATATACTATATGGTATAAGAGACCAAAAACACATCCCTTCTGGGGATTTCTTTGATCAGCTAGGTATCTAAAGCCATCATTATGACAATCACAATCACCAGCAACACCAGCAGCATCCCAGATCAACCCAGTACAGAATGAATCATCATTGAAGATGATAGGCAATCATCTATCACCCTGGGTTCAGTGTTGACTAATAGAGTGTTTTTTACTTTCCAATCTACGGAGGAGAGACATTGACCAGCCCAAAGTTACCCAGCCAGTTCCTGTGCACAAAGGACAATTAGAGTGTGGATCTCACTACTTCTAGTCCAGCATTTTAACCACTACACCACACTACCTTTAAATATATTAAAGGTACAAACAAGGTTCTAGAAGGAAATATTTTAAACGTTAAACAAAAATCAAGAACACAAGGGCTTAACCTCAAACTGACAGGAGGGAAGTTCAAAAGTAATGTTAAAAAGAATTGCTTCACAAATAGTGGAAGCTTGGAACCAACTTCCAGAAGAGGTACTGGGTCAGTCCTCAGTAACTGAGTTTAAACATACTTGAGATAAACACATGTCCATCATCTGACAAAAAAAATTTTAAAAACTCCCTCACAGGGCAGACTTGATGGACAATTAGGACTTTTTCTGCCATCAGTTTTCTGTTTCCATATTTTTACCTCTGGCTTTCTCTCTCTCAAACAAGCACACATGCACGTTACGTGGTACAGTTCAGAAACATAACTTTTACTGAGGAAGTGAGATATCACACTCCAATTACAGGAAGAAAAACAGTAGAAATACAGAGGGTAAAATTTATTCTCATTAGAAAAAGATACAATTTCAAATCTGTTATTATAAATGAGACATTAAGTAATAAGTATTCTGCTTATTTCGTTTTCATTCTTCAATTCATTTGCTAAACTACAAGTTTTATCTGTTCATGCACATGACTGTAATCCCTGAAATAAGTCCAGGGATTCCTTGGTGTACATGCTGTGCCTGGATCAGTGTGGTAAATAATGGTCCATTGCCTTCGATAGAGAGGCCTTATCCTGCAGTGGATTTATTTGGGATAGTGATAATAATAACAGTAACATGGTATGGAAGTGTATGTTCCTCAAACCATGACAGTGAATTTGATTTCAGCAAAAGTAGGTTAAGTTGATAATAATCACTGAAACTCTCTGGCAGTGAGTCAGCAGCAGAAACAATCATTTGAAAAGTTATTCTGCACAACTCCCCTTAGAATGAATGAGAATTGTCTAAGGGCACTTCAAGTGGGCACCCACAATGGAGCTTTCCAAGCCAATTTGTTGTAGTAGTTAAGGTGCTAGCCTAGAAACCAGGAGACTGAGTTCTAGTCCTGCCTTAGGCATGGAAGCTGACAGATGATCTTGAGGCATTCACTCTCTGTCAACTCAATCCACTTCACAGGTTGATGTTGTTGGAAAAATAACAGGAGGCAGGAGTATTAATTAAGTACATTATAAAGTAACAATGGTGGCATAAAGGACTAATAAATAGTGAGGGAAGTTGTGGTACCTATTTTCTTCTTGTTTATAGTTTGGTTAATATAATAAGTCTATAATAAAATCAATTATATGTCCGGTTTAAATAGAAATATCAAAAATAGATTACTAGAGAATCAAAAAAATACTTATGAATAAAATTTATCTCTTTTTTATGTGGCAGGTGGTATTGACCTTTCTGCTAAGAGAATCAACTTAAATATAAGTATTAATGCATGACCAACATTGATAGACTAGCATAGATTATAATAATCTATCCTAATACAGACTGCTCTTAATATTAAGTGGTTTATTTTAAAACTCATCTGATAACTAGATGTTCATTTCCTAGGAATTGATCAACCTCTATTGATCTTGAATGTTAGAAAAAAATGTACTTATTAAATTCAAATACAACACCATCTGGTTCACAATATCATATATAAAAATTCTGAAATAAATAGTCCATATGCATTCTACAGCCATACCCATTTGTATCTGTAAAAAAATATGAAAAATGAAAGATGCTTTCACCCAAATGTTCTATTATTAATATCTACTAGTACTATTGAATTCAGTCTTTGCCAACTGAGCAGTATCATTAGTATCACTAAAAAGAGATTTTCTTACTTCTGAAGAAAAATCTGAACAAAGGTAGCAAAAATGAGTTCATTTATCTTAGTTGTCAAGGCACAGCATGAAATAATTACTTTCAGGTTAGACTGAATGAAATGAAATGTTATTAATGATGGTGATAACATTGATTAAAGTAATTGCAGATGTTTAAGACTGTTAAAAATTGAGAGGTTGTATCAATATGAAAGTATATGTTTATGGTTAAAGATAAGTAGCATCCATTATGTCTTCTATATTCCTTTCTATCCTTTCCCCAAATTATAAATCAAAAGAATGAAGGCACATTGAAGTCAGAAAAAAGAGGAGAAGGAATTTATTATGGCTGCCCACTCCAGTAGAATCAAGGCAAGAATGAGAGACAGAAGATCTTAGCAGCAAGTCAGCACCTACAGCATCATGCAATGACATCTGTAAATTTCCTAATTAAAATATTCTTGAAGCTGTTCTTGATCCAACACTACTTCTCACCAGTCATTCCTTCCCCATCTCCAAAGGAACTAGAACCATAAAGAAAACCTAAGGCTGCAAATGGAAAATCTTTATCCTAACTTTGAATCAGCCATGCCTGACTTGGGATCATGCCACTTTTCTAGTAAAGGCAGGGTATCTGGGCCTCTGCATTCTCACCAGTGTGAGAAAAAACATTGGAAACCAGGATCTGAAGACTGCACCATCAAGTCTGATGCTCTAAGGCCAAGACTATGTCAAAGGGATCGACCAGTCATCTATCAGTCCTTCACTTTGCCTGCTATGCTTGCAATTTTATCAAAAAATGAAATATTTATTGACAGTTTTTTTAAGAGTCAGCTTTTAATTAGACTATAGCTTTAGCATTTCTATATCTTCACAGAGATACATCATTTCTGGATACATTATTCTTTTCTAATTAAAATCAAAAAAGCCTATAATTGTTCCTTTGCTTATTTAATCCTTAATTATACATGCTTTTATGCTGCTTTGGTCATTAGGACTTTTAGCAACTCATAATCAACAATAAAGTACAATAGAAATAACACAATAGAAATAAAATAGAAATAAATCATACCATTAAATATACCTTGCATTATTGAAACAACAATTCAGCCTATGATCATCATGAAAGATAGCACCAAATATCATCAGAACAGTGTCACACATTGCAGACACCTCCCAAAAAACCTCAGACCCCTAAAGCTTTTTGAAGGAGTCAGTTCTTCTGTCCCTTTCTGATTGAGAGAAATTAGACTCATATCTTTTATTTGTTTGTTTTTTCCCCATGCCATGGGACTTTCCTTCCTTCCTTCCTTCCTTCCTTCCTTCCTTCCTTCCTTCCTTCCTTCCTTCCTTCCTCCCTCCCTCCCTCCCTCCCTTCCTTCCTTCCTTCTTCCCTCCCTTCCTCAACCACTTCATCACTGAATCAACTTGGACTACTTCTGAAGTCACCTAGATAGGATCAAGTCATTTCTGGAGTTCTAGATCTAAATAGCCCAATGGAATAAATTTGATCTAGTTGTTAAGGCGTTAGGTTAGAAACCAGGTAACTGTGAGTTCTAGTCCACTTTAGGCAGGAAAGCCAGTTGGGTGACATTGGCCCAATAACTATCTCTCAGCCCAATCACATAGGGTTGCTATTGTGGGGAAAATAGGAGAAGGAAAGAGTATTAGGTATGTTTGCCACCTTGAGTTACTTATAAAGTAATACAGGCAGGATCAAAATCTAACAAATAAATAAAACACTAACTGTGGTACACATCTATGCTTAAGTCTGGGTCATCTTGTTTTCATACAAGTGTTCTTCATTGAGTTAAAAGCAGCAAAGACAACACTTTATATCCATCCTTTTTCTTCCCTTTCATTCTATTACATCAAGCACAAATATGTTTGGACATATCTACTTATATTTATGGTTTAACTGGGAATAATATAGGATGCATCTAGTAAATTATGAAATGTGGAAGGCTTGCAAAAATCAAACCAAGTACTGGTTTTATTAATCAGTGTTCACCTACCCCAGTATTTTCTTGTTGGAAAAAGAAAACATAAATTTATTGTCTTTATTTCCTGACAGTGGTGTCTTTTCCAGTTTGTGCTCCTCTTCCATTTTCAGTAATGAATCAGGTTTACTGTTCTGAAAATTAGAAGGCAACATTTATTATCTCAGCTGCAAGACTATTTGTTTCTTCATAGAATCAATGGAATATACTGTAAATAGCACAGGGTACATCCCAGCTTTTCTCCCTTAAGAACTGTTCTGACTCATATAATCTGTTACAAAGTGAAAATACATGATGATGATTTAATTGGTAGTAGGGCTGCTCAGGAAAACCCTAAAAAGGGTACAACAGAGATACTGAAATGATCCTCATAGTTGGCTGCTTAAAACAATAATGTTCCTTGGAGCCTTAAAACTGCCACGGAGTTTTAACTGCAAACTAAAACGTTGAGTTCAATTTTATGTGAGAAAACTAAGAGGAAAACAGAAGGAAATTGGGGGGGGGAGAAAACAATTACTATTCCACTGGATATGTATCCACTGGACACAAGATATTGATTAAAAAAATGTTTTATCTTAAATTTCCAGCAACCAAATCCAATGGGCCATGACATTTCACACACTGGATATGCAACTGGGTCCTGCAGAATAGCTCACATCTTATTTTGTATAGATGTGAAAATGGGAATCAGGCTTTAGTGAGATTTATGATGAGACAGGGTATAAGAGACAGGGCTGAATCGCATGCTAGCTATGTGCCTCTGAATGCTGCGTTGATGAAAACTATCTCCTAAATTGTGAAATGAGTGTGCATCTATAGGATCAATTAAAAATACATCAGTATGATGCAAATGGGACTGCACATTTATCAAGTGATTATACTAATTGCACAGTAAGTTGAATTATGAGTTCTCTTGTGAGGATAGAAGAATTTCAATTTACAAAATGAAATCCAACGTACAATATAACTGAAAGAAAAGAGTCAGGAAGCATTTTTCACCTATTTTTCCTGCCACACTGCAGAATCCTATTCAAATCTCCTTTTCACTACTACACTGGTATTTCAAAATTATTTGGAGAAAGAATATCAGCAAAGATTGCTTCTTTTTTCTCACCTTAACAGAGGTTTTTCGTAAGTAGAACTATGCTAAGGATATATTCTTGCAAATATTGCATTACTTGATATTAATTATTGTTTCTCATACATACTCTATGATTCTTAACTCCGAATAATTTCTTGGGCTAATTTATTTCATTGTTAATGATTTAATCAATTATCTTTTTACGCACTGTTTTGTATGCTATATTAATTGCAAACTGTCTTTAAATATTGTTTGTTAACAAATGGCAACATATATGTCAACAATTAAATAGTTGACTGTGGTTGAATTGAATCTGGAGAAATACTTTTTGCAATCATTTTTGCCAATGAAATCCTACCCACAAACAGACAAAAAACGATCAGTCAATAAATGAAGTATTTTACTAGTATTACAAAAAATGTTTATTGAAGCCCAAGATAGGAGAGGCTATACCTTATATTTCCATTTTGCTTCTGTTTTGGATTTATTCTGCTCCCGAATCTCAAACTTTTCCACTTCATTTTGTTTATCAATGGGTTCTTTATTAGGGGTGCTCAAAGCATTCTTGGCAGCCTAGTTAAAAGCAATAAAGAGATTGGCAGATAATTTCAGATGAAAGGATAACAAAACATGTCTTCTACTAATTTCTATATGTCAATTGGGCTAGTATGAATTTTCAAAATAATGGGAGCTAAGATATGTCCAGAAATAATATAACACTAAAACTTGAAACATCAAATTTCATCAAACCAAAAAAAATTGTTTTTCTTTATTTTAAAAGGTGCAGATAATAAGGAAAATGGGTTAATCTGTCAATCTAATCTATTATTTGGCATATCATGAACCAATTCTCACAACCTGTGCAATCCAAAGCAATCTCCTACAGGTGGACTAATCAAAAACAAAACTTCATTACTTCACTTAGTCCTAGAAATCCTTAATGAAGTAATGAAGTTCTGTTTTTGATTAGACCACATGCCGGTGATCTCTATGGAGTTGCACAAGTTGTGAAAATTGGCTCAAATTCTTCATATTGCCAGTGACACTAGTAAAAAGTACTACAATCTTAGACCCCACTCTACTGTGATCATCCACTGATTTATACTATAAAACAAACCAACAACCTAGTAAAAAGCACAGACAGAAAACTACCATATCTAAATTCATGAAGGGAACTCATACATAACCAGGGCAGCAGGAAGTCAAGGGCATGGACTGATCTGGGTATATAAATTTTGGAAATTATGTTTATAAATTATGCTTGGATATGAAGAATTCTGAAGCTCACACATTCCCATGAGATAAAGAGGAGAGCATCTACCAAGAGGTCTCTGGCCCCAATTTAATTTATTACTGAACATTAACTCTGCTCACCTTTCCCTTCTTTGGTGTTTCAATCTTAGTTAGGGCCTCTTTTGTGTGGGCCTCAAGAAGGTCTAAATTTGGAATGGCAGGTTGAGGTGGTTCTTTAACTTTTTTGCCTTTTTTCTTCCCTTCCCCCTTTACTTTTGGGGTTTTGGGGGGCTTGGGGGGTTTAGGGGGCTTGGGAGGCTTAGGTGGCTTGGGAGGTTTAGATAGTTTGGTGGGTTTCAGTGCTTTTATTGCTTTGGGGGTCTTTTTCTTAGGGACTTTTTCAGCAGTTGGTGGTGGAGGAGGAGGAGATGGTGGTGGTGGTGGTGGTTGTGGAGGCGGCGATGGTGGCGCAGGAGGTGGTGGAGGCGTTTGTGGTGGAGGTGATGGTATTTCTTCTTTCTCCGCAGGGGTGATTTCCACAACGTTCACATTAACACCCACTTCAGGTTTGTTGACTTTCAAAGCATTCTTCAGGAAAAGAGAACATAAGCATATTGTCAGATATAACGTTGATATTTTTGTCGCTACAAAATAGCTGATCTTCAACATTATTTTCAGAATTTCCCCAGAGATTTCTAAAGAGGTTCTACTGAAGACTGACAGTACTCAGAGAGCAGACTAGAGTTGCTTCATGATTTTATCTTATCTTGTGCCACTTATGACAACTATAGAAAACTGAGGATATAAGCCATTCTATGGTTACTCTCCTATAGTTTATTCCTAAATTTCAGATGGGGCTGAGAATATTGAACCCAAATGGTGTGATTCATGAAACACAGTTTATACCACTTACTGTTTCATTTTGTAATTTGCAAAGTGTTTTTATTTTATTACATGTAATATTGCAATAAAACAATGCCATTTTGACATGTTTTTCAGGAAAATGTCCCTTATACACCAACATGAAATGTTACATACTTTGGTTCTGAGCATTAATGTGTAGGTTGCCTTTATTTTTTCATATGTGTTGTATAGTTTCTATGGACTCTATAGAGAAAGAGTGACTCAATAAATAGATGGGAAAAGTCTCATTTAAGCATGGTGCAGAAGTGTCTAGACAGCCTTACGCTATAAAAATGTTGTTTTTATTAAGAAAACATTAGCACCAATATTTGATAACAGCAAAATATTATCATTTTAAATATAGACATTTGTTAAGTTGACTTTTCTATTATTCATTTGTTTTATAAAAATCCTAGCTTCTTCCATTTTTTTTATTAGAATAGAAATACAAGAGAAATGAAGACAGTCTCTTATTTAAAACACTAATCTGTTTTAAAGAAGTGCAATTCAAATTAATTTGAAAGAGATTTGTCAGAATCCAATCATATTTCATCTTTAATTATCAAATATAGAAACTCCCAATTCTGCCTTCTTTGGATTCTGCCATAAGAGGGAGAGAAGGGGGAGAACAAAGGGGCTTTATGGCCCTCACTTCCTTCAGTAGACTTCAAAGAGCTGAATGCTGAATGTGTGTTTATTGTAACCTATTGTAACCTCAAAGCGTTAACACCAGAGAACATTAGCATTAACAAAGAAGAGTATTTGCCTTTCATGTAGTTATCTGAAGTCTCCATCCAGACGGAAGAAAGAAGAAACGGGGTGGAATTGTGATACTTGAAACTATCACTGGGAAGGGGGGTTGATTGGGTGGGACTACTGGGGAACCCCTTAAAACCTTGAATGGGAGAGCTTGGACCCCAAGTCCTGTCTAGCATGCCTGCAACCATTTTCTCTTAATAAAGGATTCCTGTTGGAAGAACTATTCCAAGAGTTCTGTCTTCTTAAGATGCAAAGTGGGGTGGGTCCTTACATTAGACAGGACTTGCAAAATTAATCCACCTGGAAGGTAGACCCTTGCCGGGGGATTTTGCAAAAATTTACCATGTCAGACAACGAAGCAAGAGAGGGAGAAAACTCCCTGGAAAGAGAGCCGCTGACCCAGTTGGAACCTTGCCAGATGTTGGGATCCGAGAGGCCAGATTTCTCAGAAGAAGAAGTGGTGGAGACACAGGACCACAAGCCTCGCTGGTCGATGGGCGTTGGAAAGAAAAGCGAGTGGGGAAAGGAATCAAGAAAAGTGACCCTGAGACGGGGGACCAAGCAACCAGAATGGAAGCAGGAGATGGAGAAATCCCTGCACGCAAGTGAAGAGGGAGGAAGCTGTATGCCGTACTCAGACTGGATCCTAGAGAGAGCTATTGACCTGATGAAGAGAACTCTCAGCTCCCTAGGAGAGGAGATTCCTGAGCCCTACGCCCGCCCCAGTTCCTGGAGCCACAAAGGGAGAGACACCGAGGGGGACGTGGAACCTGCAACCCCAGGGACATTTACTGATCCAGGAGCTCCCACCCCCTACCGGACCACAGATGGAAATCTGGACGGAAGACACTACCACCCACAATGGAGGCACCGATCCATTCCAAGACGTCCACCGTTGGAGGTGAAATTCAAAGGGGAGCCAACACGCTTGGGGTTTTTCCTAACCCAAGTCCTCAGCTACATGGAGGAATATGGGCAGGACATCCCCAGCGACAAAGCCCGCATCCGGATCGTGCAATCTGCCCTGGATGGACCAGCTGCAGATTGGGTGGTGAACCTGCATGACTCCAATGCCCCAGAACTCAGTAACTTCAACCGTTTCATGTCCTCTTTGAGAAGACGATTTGAAGACCCCCTGGCTGAGCGCAAAGCCCGTGAAAGGATAACAACGATGAAGCAAGGCAAGCGCCCAGTGGCTGAGTATACACAAGAATTCCGGGCCATTGCCAGCAAACTGAATTGGCCAGAAGACATCCTCCTTGGCCATTTCAAAGATGGATTAAACTATGATCTATATGATGCTTGCCTGCCCCGAGGGGACCCACATCAACTTGAGGAATGGTACATCTTGGCAGAGGAAGCAGAGATCGACATATTGAAGAGGCACCGCCGAGGAAAACAATGGAGCCGCCCCCCGCCTGAGCTGACACATCGACCGGTGAAATCATCGGATACAGCCAAGAAGCAAATGGGGTGTTTCAAATGCGGAAGAGAAGGGCATCGAGCTGCAGAATGCCGCTCAAAGGCCCCCCAGCACAACCCAGACAGATCCCCAATCAACAAACCCGGAAAGTATTCAGCTAAGCCAAAAGAAACGGCCATGAGAATGATGGAAATTGCAGAAACCCCCACCTCTGCTCACCAAGGGGAAAGAATTCCAGCCTACACCACAGGGCCGGTGGATGCCTCAGACGACAGCTCGGAGGGCGAACCTCTGGTAAGTGGATGCATCACACCCATCTTCAAAACAGTGACTATATTAATCCCCCCCATGCCCGAAGCTGTGAAGGTGAAAGCTTTAATAGACTCTGGCTGCACCCGCTGCCTCATTAGCCCAACACTAGTGGGGAATCTGGGCATCCCATCCAGGAGACTGGAACAACCAATCTCATTTGGCCAGCTAGATGGATCCATAGCAGGGGGGGTGCCAGCTACCCTAGCCACTCTGCCAATACACCTCTCCCTGGGCAACCATGAAGAGGACTTAACGTTTGTGGTGACCCCAGGTATGGAATGCCCAATGATTCTATGGGAAAAAATGGAATGGGTAAATGGACCAGAAATCAAATTGGACCCTATGGACTTAAAACCCCAAGGGAGGCTACCAGAATCAAGAATAGAAAAAGCATCCATAGGAGAGGAAAAAAGATTAACAGAAATACCAGAGGAATATAGGGACCTTGCTGAAGTCTTCAGTGAGGAGAGGGCGAATGAGCTTCCCCCCCACCGACCCACAGACTGTACCATTGAATTCAAGCCTGGGGCAAAACTCCCGAAGCCCAGATTATACTCCATGAGCCCAAAGGAGAAGGAGGAAATGGAAAGATTTATAAAAAAAAACCTGGAGAGAGGGTTCATTGAGCCAGCCAAGCCTAAAGTGGCTGCCCCGGTCCTTTTTAGAGAGAAGAAGGATGGTTCTTTACGTTTATGCGTGGATTATAGGGCCCTGAATACAATCAGTGAAAGCAACCTATACCCGCTGCCCCTCATGAAAGACATGCTGTCACACCTATCGAAAGGGAAAATTTTTTCTAAACTAGACTTAAGGGAAGCTTACTATCGCGTGAGAATCAAGGAAGGGGACGAATGGAAGACTGCATTTAACTGCCCCATGGGGTGCTATCAATTCAAAGTCTTGCCATTTGGATTACAAGGGGGTCCTGCAGTCTTTATGCAATTAATCAATGACGTTCTAAGGGAGCACCTATTTAAGGGGGTCCTTGTTTACTTGGACGACATTCTTATCTTTACTGAAACAAAAGAAGAACACGTCAAACTTGTCAGAGCGGTTTTAAAGAAGCTGCGAGCCGCTCACCTATATGCCAAACTCTCAAAATGCGAATTCCACCAGGAAAGGATAGACTACCTAGGCTATCGCATATCCCCACAGGGCATTGAAATGGACCCAGAGAAGGTCAGAGCAGTATTAGAATGGGCACCACCCCGCACAAGAAAGCAACTACAAAGTTTCCTGGGCTTTGCAAATTTTTACCGCCAATTCATCCCCTCATTTGCACAGATAGCCTTGCCCCTCACTAACTTACTAAAAACGAAGGGAACATCCTCAGTAAAACCTAGCCAGCCACTAACATGGACAATGGAGTGCCAAGCAGCGTTTGAGAGACTAAAGAGACTTTTTTCTGCCGAACCAGTACTAAGGCACCCAGACATGGACAAGCCCTTCATAATACAGGCAGATGCAAGTGATGTGGCAGTGGGGGCTGTGCTATTACAAGAAAATGATGATGCAGTATTGCAACCCTGTGCATATACATCTAAGAAACTCACGGAAACAGAACAGCGCTGGCCCGTATGGGAGAAGGAGGCTTATGGGATACGTTGGGCATTACTCACGTGGCGACAGTTCCTGGAAGGCAACAAAATCCCCTTCCAGGTATGGACTGATCACAAAAATTTAGAAGCCCTGAAAACTTCCAGGAAACTCAATCCCAAACAAGCCCGCTGGTCCCAGCATTTTCACCAATTCCAATTTAAGCTCAAACATTTACCAGGAAGAAAGAACTTCCTGGCAGATGCACTATCTCGCATGCCCCAATATAACAGCGCACGAACCACAGACTCTAGACCAATAATGGCAGAATCACAACTGGCAGCGCCAGTAACCACAAGAACCCAAGCCAAAATAAAACCACAACTGGACAGCCAAACTGGGATTGAATTCAGAAAAAGTTTGGAAACAGATGATTGGTTCCAGAAAAACAAACATGTGTGCACAATGAGAGACGGATTGCCTTGGGTAGGGGAAAAGTTATATATACCAACAACTCAAAGACTAACTTTCATGCAACTTTGCCATGACACAAAATCAGCAGGGCATTTTGGATTTGTAAAAACTTTACACTTAATTAAACGGCAATTTTGGTGGCCATCAATAAAAAAGGACATAGAAAGTTATGTTGCCAGCTGCCCAACCTGTGCATCAGCAAAGAGGTTGCAAGGGAAATCGCCAGGGCTGTTACAACCAGTGGCAAGTCCCTCAGCCCCCTGGAGGGAAATAGCCATGGATTTTATAGTGGAATTGCCTGAAAGCAATGGGAATACTGTTATCTGGACAGTCACGGACCTATTTTCCAAACAGGTGCACTTTATCCCTTGCCAAAAAATTCCCACTGCAAAGGCCTTAGCAAAACTTTTCATCCAGCACATTTACAGATTGCACGGGGCACCCCAACGCATCATCTCTGATAGGGGAGTGCAATTTACGTCTGCATTTTGGAAGGAATTTTTATCCCTCTTAGGGACCACTCAGGGATTGACATCTAGCCACCACCCTCAAGGAGATGGACAAGCGGAACGGTGCCAGTCGGTACTTGAGCAATATTTGAGATGTTTTTTAAATTTCCAACAGAGTGATTGGACGGACTTACTTCCTTTTGCAGAAGTTGCCTACAATAATGCAGTCCACTCCAGCACAGGCTACACTCCTTTTCAAATAGCCAACGGCCAAAGTTTCAACCCTATGCCAGAGTTAACCCCAAAAGAACCAACGATCCCTTCACTGAAAGAATGGATGGAAAACCTACAAAACACCTGGCCAATAGTCAGAAAATCACTAGATGAAGCTAGGCGGGCATACAAAGCACAAGCCGATAAAAAAAGGGTTGAGCCTACACCATTCATTATAGGAGAAATGGTGTACTTATCTACAAAATACCTAAAGTCCCTACAGCCCTGTAAAAAACTTGGACCAAAATATATAGGACCTTTTCCAATTAAAAGGATCATAAATCCAGTAACAGTAGAATTAGAATTACCCAAAAACCTCAGGCAAATACACCCAGTTTTTCATTGCAGCTTGCTGAAAAGAGAGCATCAGTCACCTCTACGGCCAAAAATCCCCCCCCCACCACCTCCAATCATGGTGGAGGGGGAACAACACTTCGAAATAAAGGAGTCCTTGACTCTAGGAGATATCATGGAGCAACTCAGTACCTAGTTGCCTGGAAACACCTCCCTCCCTCACAAAATGAGTGGGTCCATAAACGTCATGTCAGAGCCCCGAAGCTATTGAAGAAGTTTCACACAGAGTATCCTAACAAGCCTGACTAAATTTTATACTTGTGTTTTCTTTCAGGTGGATCTCTCTTATTTTTAAGAGGGGCCGGATGTCAGAATCCAATCATATTTCATCTTTAATTATCAAATATAGAAACTCCCAATTCTGCCTTCTTTGGATTCTGCCATAAGAGGGAGAGAAGGGGGAGAACAAAGGGGCTTTATGGCCCTCACTTCCTTCAGTAGACTTCAAAGAGCTGAATGCTGAATGTGTGTTTATTGTAACCTATTGTAACCTCAAAGCGTTAACACCAGAGAACATTAGCATTAACAAAGAAGAGTATTTGCCTTTCATGTAGTTATCTGAAGTCTCCATCCAGACGGAAGAAAGAAGAAACGGGGTGGAATTGTGATACTTGAAACTATCACTGGGAAGGGGGGTTGATTGGGTGGGACTACTGGGGAACCCCTTAAAACCTTGAATGGGAGAGCTTGGACCCCAAGTCCTGTCTAGCATGCCTGCAACCACTTCTCTTAATAAAGGATTCCTGTTGGAAGAATTATTCCAAGAGTTCTGTCTTCTTAAGATGCAAAGTGGGGTGGGTCCTTACAATATTTGTTTGTTTTATTGTTTCGTATTTTATTTTCTATGCTAAAACAAAGAAACATATATTAAATAAATATATTTTTTAAAAAAGAGAATTTTATTTTGCTTTCAATGATTGGTAAAAGACCAATATAAATGAGACGATTTAATTGAGATTGTGGCTACTATCCTTCACAGTAAAAACTGCATCTGAAAGCTTCATGGAGGGCTGCACTATCAAAGATGACAAAGCATCTCTTCAATCTGGAGTTCCCATATCTCTTGGCAAACTTCTCCTATGTCATAATCTACTCTTTGTTGTCCTGTCAAGTTGCTAAACTAAATCCAAACTCAGTGCGGAAAATAATTTTATATGTTCCTTTTATGTGCAGATAAAAGAAGAGAGGTATCTAACAGAAGTTATATATAGTTAGTCCTTCACTCATGATTGTTATACAACCTGCCCGAAAGGATGAACGACTGTGGGATGCTGCAACAGCCATAACTTTGAGGCCGGTTGTAAGCAGCTTTTGGAGGGTCCACTATAACTATGAACTGTCTCTAAGTGATCGGGCATAAATCAAGAACTACCTATACAGGTGTGTTAGATAAAGCAAACTGTAATGAAATACACAAATCACTGATAAGTGGCCCAAAATGAATACTCTTTTTTCCCTACAAGCCATAGCTCTTGTAATTAAAGAAGAAGGAGTTTGACTGATCATACAGACATGAGAATAACTTTTTCTGGTATTTTATGAGAAAATGCACAAGGTATTTTATTCAATAAAAGATTCTTACTTCACTTAATCTTATTTCTTTGGCAAGGTCCTTAATCAGTTGTGCTGGCTTAAAATGTTCTGGGAGTTCATCTTCATGGTCCACTAAAGCCTTGAGTTGAATACAAAAAGTTAAAAAATTGTCAAGAAATCTTATAAGGTTATGCTATTTAAAATGATGCAGTATTAACTTTATGGAGCATTCAAATGAGATAAAAATTAGTAGTTTAGAATTATGAACAGACATTTATTTATTCACAGCAAGATCCTACATATGGAAAGGGTCCAGACCCACTTATAGAAAGAGTCTCTTTTTTAATCTGTTTCCTTCCCAACCCAAATCTTTTATGTGATCTCCCATTTTCCTGAGTTTTTTTCTGCCAGGTCCCCCTCTTAGAATTTCCTAACCATTCATTTCAGCACTATGACACAAGTACATGTCAGTGACAGCACAAATCTGGATGTAAAACTGTTCTGCTCTTACAGAAAGAAAATTCTGTTTTACCTAGAAAGTTGTTCGCTTCCTCTTTTTCTGAATTCCCATGCAAACTTATACAGCAGAAAGATCCCTACCTGCTTTTTAGTCCAAGACCTGAAAGCACCATTTAGGATTTTGGCTCCCTGGACTAAATGGGAAGGAGGCTGCTTTCCAGCTTTGTGTAATCCTTAACAGAGAGGAAAAAAATAGAATTCCATTCAATGAATGTGACCAATTGTCTATTGATGTAGCTTTTTAAAATCATACATGTTAGAGATTAAGTTGGCTGTCAATAAGCTTGTGAATTGAACTTCTATGATCATAAATCAGTAGTTCCAAAGCTTGAAGGTTATTTTTGAATCTGAGCTTGAATTTCCTAAACTTCCCATTTGTATTTTGCTTAGCTAATTTCTGATTTGACTACAAATGCTAGATTCAGTGATAATATTCTAACTGTTAAATTCTGTGCTGACCCAAATGGAGATGCTGGTATTTCAAAGACACAGAACTGAAGCCAACACCACCTTAGTGGAGAGTCCATTCCCATGTCCTCTATTCCTTGTTGCCCCTCTCTAAGTCCTTGGCTAAAAATTGGGCAAATGAAATGTGCATGAGCAGCATCTGATTCATGCAAACATCTTCTATCTACTTTATCAATATGAGATTCCACTTCAGTTTCCCCTTCCCAACTCACTGTGTTTCCCTACTAGGAAATTGTGGATTTTGAGAAATTCATTACTCAAGTTGGCTTCTCATGCTCAATACTTACTTTCATATTTTTAAAAGTAAAGCATTTAAGCAAAACATTCATTTCCAATCTGTGAGTCTTCATCTGTTGATTCATTATTATATCTTCATATGCAAGCATCTCAAAAGTGTATCAACAGACTAGTTAGACAATAATTGCCATACCAACCCAAATTCAGCTTTTCCTATACTCTTTGCCTACAAAGGCAATGGTTAGCATTTTGGGCAAATGCAACCAATATCCAAATTGGCCATTTATATTGATACAACAGTTAAGAAATGATGAAGACTTTCAATATTGTGCTTTAAAAAAAATCATAAGAAGATGAAAAGCATGTAAATAAACAATAATTCCAAGAATACAAGAACAAAAAACAAATAGGATGAATTTAGGGGAAGTTAGGAAGCTTTGAAAAGTGGATGTTAAAAAGTTATCTTCAGAAGAATATTAAACCAAAACTTGGGATTGAGACCAAGTAACAATTTGTTTAGTACAGGAGTGGCCACCAAGTATCCTCCAAGTATTCTCCAAGCTACTCCAGTACTCCATTTGTAGCTACCGGGTTCCCTGGCTAAATAGGACAACAAAATGTTACTTTGGGTAACACAATATTTTCTTCCAAAATAAAAGTGTGAATGTGATTTGGAAACCTCCACAAGGCTAATCACTAGCATCTCTTAGGTTCCTTCAAACAAGCTTGGTGAAATTCACCAGTGTGTCTCCAAATATTGGAGACACAATTTTTAAGCATTTGGGAAAGAGGATTGATGGACAGAAATGGGGAAGTTATAGTCCTTAAGAAAGCCCTAAAAGAAAAAAATGTATGGAAAAAAATGGTATTGTCATTATCTAATCATCATTCCAATGAAACAAACACAAGCTGTGAACCCCCTCCTCCCCACAACACTAATTTTCCACTCATGATACAATGGTGGTGAAATTATGGAATTTGTTACCACGAAATACAGTGATAATATTAAAAGGAAGTTAGGCAAATATACAGAGGATTCACCTGTTAATCTTTGCTTCTAGATTGCTACCATTCCAGTCCTTTCTTCAGACAGGCTTGTATTATACTCAAATCACCTTCAGGATCAAGGGTACTTATTAACATTAAGGTCAGTTTAGAGCTAGTGTATTGTAGAACTGCAATTCAAAGGTTGGATTTCAAGCAAGGGGATATAGGTTGAAATTTCTATTCAACCACAAAGATCAACAGGGGTATGTGGATCAATCTCAACCTACTTCATATTGTTGCTAAAAGGAAATAAAAATTTGGAACACCGCTATATATGTCACTTAGATCTTAGAGGAAATTGAGATATGAACACATAAATAAATATCTAATTAGGATTGGATCCCAGTACTTCATTAGTGAAGTTTGTTTCCCCTCTCCCTGAAAGCATGCAGATTATTACAACAAATGGCCAGGTATGGTTACCAGTTTAAATATTAATGGAAAGTAACACCATGTTATAGAACAGGAGCAGGAAAGTCACTTTTATTTACCTTTAAAGGATTCCAGCAGATGTCTTCCTGTGTACCAACATGCTGTTTCAAAATTGGGAAACTGGGTTAAGCTGACAATTTTTAATCGTCTTTCAACTTCATATGCTCTAGGAAACACAGTAAAAAATGTTTCAATTGCAAAGATCACAAAAGTCTTCCTCCCCACCCCCCAAAAAATATTTCTACCATCATTACCCAGAATACATCTGGTATGGTTTTAATTTCCAGGCACTTATCTGGAATTGTCAGTTACTACAGAAATACCCAAATTCAAAACAGTGTCTTACATGATCTTTGCTAATTTTAAGTGAACAGCTAGCATTTATAAAACTCGGTAATCATCACCAAAGGAATAATAGGCTCCAAACAAATGTACAGCAAAATTGTACAACACATACAGTGTTGGACTTATAACACAAGAGGCACTATAATCCTATACATAATTCCTCAAAATTAAATGTTATTTAATATATCATACTCATTTAGTAACATTTATTCTCCTGAAACCCAACACAAAATTTACTCATACTTATTCAGAAGACTTGAATATTAATTGTGAACAAATACAGGAAAATATTCAAACAAAGAACAGTGGAAGTGAACAGTTTCATAATGTTATATGAGGGCAGTTACAGTAATTGAACAATGTTGCAAATAATAATGTTTCTTTTTAAAAAAATAAAATTGTTCTAATAAACTTGCTGTAACACATGAAAAAAAAATACTGGAAAATGGTACACACCTTTCAACTTTGCTTAAGAAAATTGTTAAGTGAGATATGGTAGCAGCTTGGAAGAACAAGTTGGGAAATTACTTCAGTATACAATATACTTGTTTAGGCATGCACCTCAAGCTGTAACCAATTCTCATCTTCTTTTTTTTAAAGAAAGGAATATAGTTAATTATCCACAACTGTCTTACCTCATCTGCATCTCAACAGTTAAACTATGTAGAAAATGTCCTGCAAAGGCCAGGCAATCAACAGGTGTTAAAGTTGCATAAATCCATCCTTTTAAAAAAAAAAAAAAAGAAGGAAGCATACAGGATTTTTGTTAAATATTGAATATAATCACCACATTGTTCATATTTTCAATTCACTGGAAACTCCTTTCAGCTCAGAAGGATTTTGGAAACTGGTTTATGTTTGCTATATAAGAAATACTTCGACCTTTCAGACAGTCAAAGCAGGCTAATTTCAAAGCTTCCTGGGTAAGAAAGATCTAGTGCTGGAAGCAGGCTTCATCTTCAAAGTTTCTATGATATATGGAATTATTTCCGCAGAGAGGGGATGGGTGGGAAGGAGGATAAATTAGCATGATTGTGCCTTTAGATATTAAAAAAGAACCTATAGGAAATTATTTGAGCATTCTGGGGCAGAGTCATGCAACTGAGTACCACCAGCTTATTATTGTTACTTAACAGGTGTTAAACAGAAGGGAGCATAGAATAACACCTGAAGACCCCACAATGCAGGGGTGTTAAGATGGGTTTCTCTCATCCACCAACACCAACTAGAATCAGCCTCAAATAAAGGAGAAGAACCCTCACAGAATTATGCCCCCTACACCTAACTCATGAGCTAATCCAGAAGGATATCATGATCCAGCAAGGCCAGGAAAGATGCATCACCCCATCCTGAGCCTTTCAAAAGTCATCAACAAATGCAATTAATGCCATCTCAATCTAACTCAGTCTAAAATCCTAAATCTCATTTGATGTATCATCTCCTGGAGTTTCTCTAAAAATCAGGTAAGCCTCCAGGATTTGCATACTGTCCAGATTGGTGCAACATTCAAAACAACAATCAGTCAAATCTTGCAAGAGAACTTCTCTTCAAATAACTGGGGCAGAAATAGTCAAATAGTCCTTCCTCCCTGTGGCAGAGAGCAGTTGCAGAGAAATTTAAGGGAATGACAAGGGACTGATCATATTGCACTGCGTAAGACAAAAACCAAAAACTAACGTGGGGTTCTCCCACTATTAATTGTGACCTCAATAACATGGATCAAATCCATGGTTGCCAAGATAGCCATTCCCAACCTGTTCCCAATTCCAAGACCAAGAAAGGCAACTTCATATGGAGAAACTGCAATGCAGTAGCTATCCCATCTGATCCTTAGTGTTTAACTGCACAAAGGTTTCAAAACTGGGTTATGTGTGTGGGCAGCACTTCTAGTAGGCACCTTAGAATTCAAATACTAATTTAAAATAAATTATGTCTGATTAAAAATAGCCCAATTTGAGTATACTTAAAGTGTACAGAGTCAAAAAAATAGGTACTAAACATGGGATAAGTACATTTGTTTCACCTCTTCCAACCTACATTTGTGCTATCTTCTGTGAGAACAGCTTTGTGCTCTGGAAACTGGACTAATATTGGAGGAACTGATAAGAGACAGCTGCTGGGAGAAATGGAATATGCCACGTAATTTATTCCCTCCTATAGACACTTTTTGTGAGCATCTTATTCTTTGCTAGATTTATCACTGGTTTTCCAGTTGAGATCTTAATGATGAAAAACAGTCAGGGAGGCATTTACAAGCTGATTCAACAAGAGTTAAATATGGGATTATCCATTCTACTACTCATATATTAGTGTTGTACACATGAAGTTCTGACTCTTGTAACTTCCAGTCCAAGAACCTGCACCCCTTCTAATATTGCTGAACTAAAATATTTATCAGCTGAACAAATATGGCCAATTGTGAGGGATTCTGGAAATGTAGTTCAATAATGTCTGGAAGGCCAGAGGACATCTATTTCTAATTGAGATTCACCCTTTGAAAAGTCCAAATCTGGTTTACTAAAAGTCAACATGACAGTGCTACTTATTTGTTGCTTGGAATGTAGTCTCTCCACAGATAGGTAACTGAGTATTATAACTGAGTATTGTATGCTGCAGAATCAATGGATTCATATTCTAGGGAAATTAACTGTAATTCCTATAACTCTATATTACCCCTCATCATTTCCAATTTGTACTTCCAGAATTCAAACCAACAAACATGTTCAAAGCAAGACTCTCACTCTTAATTTTTAATTGCAACCACTTCCTTACCTGATGGAATGAAGAGTGTTTGTCCTTGTTTAACTGTGCATTTGTAACATTTATCCACTTGATCAGCAAAAAACATCTCACTGTGATTTGCTGCTGACTGCCAACGCTCATAAAGGGAGATATTTGCAGAGGTTGGTTTGATGAGATAAAATATTTTTTCTCCCTGAAACATAAAAATTGTTTTAGATCACTTCAGATTTAGTTTCTGATCTTCAAACCTTCCCTGGCCTGCAGCATTTGAAGAATGCAATCCTGAATGGTAAGCTTTTTGATCACTTGAACCCAAGCCCTAGAAATTTTTTTTCTCTTAACCCATTTCTCTGTAGTAGAAAAGCAAAGATTAGAGTGATCTGGAGTCCCCAAAAGTTGTTCTTTCTGCAATATCCCCTTCCCCCTTTTTTCAGCAACAGATTACAAGAATAGAAAGCACATTCTTATCACATTTCCCCTGATATATATCAATTCTAGTTTATCAGCAATAAGTAATAGCTTAAGCTTCTTCTATGTCTATGCTTTTTACCCAGTATAAAGTAGGTATCTATGTCAGATATATATAGTGATTGTTGCTTTCTATTCTGCATTTGTCAGAACAACTAGAATATTACATCCACTTCTAGGCACTGTATTTTAGGAAGGACACTGATAAACTACAGTATAATAAACTACAGTATATCTAGAAGAAAGCAACTAAGGGGTTGGAAGGAAAAATTTAGGAGGAATAGCTAGGACATTGGCTATATGTTTATCCTGGAGTAAGAAAGTGTATAAAGACATGATAGCTAAGTCGGCAAATATTTGAACGGTTATTGTTCCAGAAAACAGACTAAAGAATAGTACATTTAAATTCCAAGAAAGTAGTTTATTATTATTATTATTCAACCCCTCTGCCCACAGTATGGAGTTCAATCCTGACATGATCGAGGTTGACTTAGCCTTCCATTCTTTCAAGGTCAGTAAAATGAGGATGCAGATTGCTGGGGAGCAATATGCTAACATTTGTAAACCACATGGAGGGTGCTATGTAAACCACTATGGAGCAGTATATAAGTCTAAGTGCTATTGCTATTTTATTCAAATGTATTTTTTGACCCATCACAAAAACATAACGACACATTGGAATTAGCCACATTTTAGATATTTAAATGATGTAAGTTATTTCTCCACGCTGCCCTCTTTATACTGAATAAATTTTTTGATGAACCTATCAGCAAGACCACTGCCAGCACTGCATATCAACATATGCTGAGTCTTCGTTTTTCTTATTTCTACCCTCAAGAATTGCAAACTCCAAAATTTAGTGTGAATTTGCTACACTATTCCTTGCAATGGCTCATGATTAACTGAATAAAGCATCTTACTTTTAAGATGTGATACCAGGCAGAGGCTCCACCAGAGTCAATATGAAAATCTGTGTAGCTGTCCTTCACACAAATAAGACAGTATTTGGTCACTTTTGGTTTTGCCAGCAGAGCATCATCAGGCCAATAGTTTTCCACCCAAGAGAGCTTCTTCACTATTTCAGGAGATTCTACAAAACTGGACATTCTGTTTTAAAAAAGGAAAGAAAAGTTAAAGCATCTGAACTCAATTAAAGGACATTGAAAGAGTTTTCTTTATTCACACTCCTGTTTCTGAGAAAATGGCAAGATCAGGAAGAGGCCCTCCTACCAGGAATGCATTCCCCATGGAGTTGTATTGTTATTGCTGTTAAGATACATCTCTTTTACCAAACTGTTTATTAATTTTAACTTCAATGTCTGTATCTATTGATGGGATTCAAAAAGACTGCATTTTGCATCTGAATTACAACTGGGCATCTTGAGATGAAAAGCAAGCAAGGAATCCATTGAGTTCAAATGGGGTACCATAACTCTTGAGAGAGTTTATGTTGGATCTCTTGGTTTACAATAGTCCAGTTATAAGTGCTGTTGCTTAAGTATCCAAACCAATGCCATTCACACACAAACGGGGCTATTTGAGGTAGAATGGGAAGAAGGTAGAGGAAGGAACAACCCAGAAATGCATTATATTTTCTGAGACATAAATGAAAAGTCAGGAAAATGCGATAAATGAAATGAGGTGGAGAGAATCTTATTCATTTCTGTACACCAATAAGAATCTAAATTCTACTAGTGTACTTCTCATGTACCTATATAGAAAAAAGAGCTAATTGGTAAGCTTGGGAAATTCACATAGTTGTTTTCTCTTTTTAGAAAAAAAGTTTAGAATGGGAGTATACCTCAGTTTCAGAGGCATACGTATCAGCTATTAGCTACTAGAAAAGTAAGGGTACGGGGAAATGTAATAAACAGTAACACATCCTAAAAAAGAACACTCTATAGTGGAACTTTTCCTTATGGGTCTCAAGTTTCTTCTACTTAAATTAATTTATTTTATTTATTTACATATTACATTCATAAACTCACTCTCAGAGCAACTCTGGATGGCGTACAAGTAAAATGTAAAAGGATAAAAATTGTAGATAAATATTGTGTTAGGCAGCAATTAAATGTACAGTTTCATAGTCTTTTATACTTTTTAATTTGTTTGTATTTTGTATTTTTGTGTTTTGTAAACCTCCTTGAAGTGAACAATAATGGAAGGCAGTACAGAAATGTATTAAATATAAATAAATAAAATCTGACAGCCTTCTTTTAGTACGACAAATCTTTTCTACATAAATCAGAACAGAAATTAAATGAAGACTCTTTTAGCAAAAGATTTATTATCCCAAATGCATACATAATTGAAAAGCAAGCAAAAGCACTTTCTGAATGCTAGTTATTCAAAATGTGAAGAAAACAACTTAATTAATGAGATGGAGATGTGAATTCACTTTTGAAATGCCTCTTTGTGTGAGGTATTAAGTGTAAAATGCTCTCATTGTAAACCTATTTTTTCGTTATCCTCCATGTCAAGGCAGAACTTGAGAGCTTGTTAAAATGCCATACTCTTTGCTAAAGAATATACTTGCTAACCAATTATTAAATCAGTAGTATATGTGGATACCATAATATGAGCAATTCTCTGCAATAAAATAATGACCCTTTCTTTACAATTGTTTCTGAAGGCTGAAAAAAAGATTAAAGAAACACCTAAACTATAATCATACTGCTTGGAAAAAATATTTTATCTGTGCAGGAAAGGGGATTACGTTATTAAAACAATAAGCAATAGAAAGATATGGACACTACAAAATAAATGATTTTGCCATCAACCTTCAGCCTTATTGTAATCTACATTAATTATTCCTGCAGTCTCTTGACAAATAAAATGGAATTCTTTCTCTAGCAATCTTTTTGTTTGGTTGTTTGATTTTTTTGAACTCCTACTCCACAAAAATTAAATTACACAGTTTGTTAATTTGTGAATATGAAATTTAAGCAGTTGGAGATGCAGATTTGAATAATTTATCTGGAAAGCATATTCTAATCTATAGAATAAAGTCAAACAGATTCCATCATTCCACAGGCTACAGATGTTAATATTCTTAAAAATATTCTAAAAATGATGGGGACAAGAATATCTTTAGAATCTGTGGCTTCACATAGTATCTCACCTTGTATCTGAAAACTCCAAGTTAGTTACATTGAGGACTCTTTTTCGATTTGTGCTATAATAGTAATCAACAAATTCTTTTAGTTTCATCCTGCAGTCCTTCTGTTTAGTGACATCTGTAACATCCACACTCCTTTCTGGTCCTAAAAAAAAAAAGTAATAATCAACCCAAGTAAATGGAAATGTAAACATGGACACAGTGCAAGTTATAAGCCAAAGTATAATTCACAGAGATTCATTTCATGCGACCATGAAAACGTATCCATGCAAACTTTGCTCCTCAGCACAAAAAGAACTGGACTTGCAAAAGAAAAGGGAAACCTATTCTGAAAATTGAGAAAGTGAAATAGCTCACCTGGCAAACAAAGCCTATGGTTATGTTTATGTTTGCTCTATCTGGCACTTTCAATTTGAAGACACTCCCCCCCCCCAAAAAAAAAGTTTGCACTGACTGGGAGCATAAATATTTACCTGTCCTTAAGTCAACTGTCAATTCCCAGGATTGTATGAGAACTGCAGAGAGCAGCTAAGGAATCCTGAGAAAATGAACAACTGTTTTATTCTATTATGCTGGTTCAGAAAATATTTTCCTAATTAATAATTATTTTCAGGAAAAAATATTTTTTATTCATTTTTCTAAGTTAATACGCGAGGGTCATTTAAAAGTAAAAGCCACGTATCTTTTCAAGTAAAATATTGGTGGCATCTGCATCCCTACCATCTTACTTAATGCTGTAAAAACATATGTTGATGGTAAAATTCATTTGCCTGTGGATCTAAATCAACATTTCCCAAACTCTCTGGTCAACCTCCCTTGGGGAAGTACAGATTAAGAGTTCAGGGGAGGTGTGAAGAATCTTTTAGTCACATTGTTAAAATAAACCCATCAAAATTTCACTGCGCTGTTTTTCATTGTTCATTTGTGTTCATGTTGGTGCTTGGCTTTTTAAGGAAGGTGTATACATTAAGATTACACTAAATGAAAGTGCGATGAGAAAAAGTTTATAAATCTAGAATGTTTAATAATGAAACGTCTGCAAGAGCAACCAAGTTCAGAGAGCACCAAGGACCCCTCAACAATAGATCCATAGTCTAAACACTTTGCTTTGTTCTCCTGTTTATGATGTCCACCTTTCTTGGCTAGGAAAGGATTACTTCAGTTGATAGACAGAGAAGCAGATCCTACATGTTAAATTTATTTGATCAATTTTTTTCTTCTTTTTTGTACACTGGTTTTTCTTCTTTTTTGTTGTTACTAGTGTTGAAAATAATAATAGTAATAGTAATAATAGTAAGCTGGAAGGGACCTTGGAGGTCATCTAGTCCAACTCCCTGCTCAGGCAGGAAACCCTATAACATTTCAGACAAATAACTATCCAGCCTCTTCTTAAAAACTTCCAGAGTTGGAGCATTCTAGAGGCAGATTGTTCCACTGATTAATTGTTCTAATTGTCAGGTTGCTTCTCTCTTTGGTCAGTTTCCATCCATTGCTTCTTGTCCTGCCTTCAGGTGCTTTGGAGAATAGCTTGACTCCCTCTTCCTTGTGGCAACCCCTGAGATATTGGAACACTGCTATCATGTCACCCCTAATCCTTCTCTTCATTAAACTAGACATACCCAATTCCTCAGCCATTCCTTATATGTTTTAGCCTCTAATCCCCTAATCATCTTTGTTGCTGTTTTGTTTTGTTTTGCTTCATTTTGTTTGTTTGGTTTTTTTGTTTTCTATTTTACTTTTTATGATAAAATAATAAATAATTTTTAAAAAAAAAAAAAAGAAGCAGACAGCAGAGACTAAAAGCGTCCAAGTAATGCAGCAAAATCTGCCAAGGACAGGAGATGGATCAGCAAACATGATATTCCCACCAGGTACAAATTGCATGGGAACTGCTATAAAATTATACTTGAAATATTTATGCATAAACCAGCACAATAACTTTACAAAGGAGAAATGTAAATATTATATTTGCCTTACATTATTGTATGTTTATGAAATAATAATACATGATAAAAATAATTAAATGCATGAATTTAGTTAAATGCTATATATACTAACTATAACATTACAATTTTGAAAAATAAAAATCAAAAATTTTCTGAATGCCTGACATTTGTGTAATAAGAAAAACAAGGTATGATTAGGTTCCTTGTCATCAAATTAATTTTTGGTTAACCTGGGAATCCTAAAGACAATAATGGGAATCAAAGGGTAGATAGTAACAGAATATCATACAGATTACATACGAACATAATTAAATAAAAAATGCTGATTTCAAGGTACTAATTTGTCCAGACTATACAAAAAGATGTGGATGATTCTTGCAAGCTAACATTTTGGATTAATATAGGAGAAGAAACCATCACATTGTCAATAGTGCCAATAGCTTTCTAATATTCTATCAACTGCATATCTAGAAACTGGCATAAAACAAATATTAAAATCTTCCAGATTTGGTGATCCCAATGGTGTTATCCTTTTATTTAATTTTAATTTAACTTCAGGGGTTATAGGCATCATACTGCATATTGCAGAGATGATGCAAAACAAAATGACAATAGGACAGTAGCTATATATGTGCAATGAAAAAGTGTCCTGTGTTTGATATAGATATTGCTCCCTTGGGACTAGCAACGTCACATGAAAACCCTGACTAGTAATTGCAACTTCCAACAGTCCCAATTGCCGTTGTTAAGTGAATCATTCACAGCCATTAATCAAGACATCCTGTGACTGTGAAATGCGATCTCCTGCCAGTTTCCCCATTGAGTTTACATGTCAGAAGCTGACTGGGAAGGTTGCAAATGGTGATCACATGACCATGGGATATTCCGACCATTGGAAATGTAAGACATTTGCCAAAAACCCAAATTGTGATCACATGACCATGGGGATGCTGTGACAGTCATAAGTGGAAGAACTGGTCATAAGTCACTTTTTTCCAGCATTGTATAACGTCAAATAGCCACGAAATGAATAAGGACTACCTATATCTCTTTTACCAAAAAGCCAGCAATATAGTTGGTCTGTTCCTCTTTGTTTAAAGCTGTGTAGTTTCAAATTCATTAAATCAGGACTGCCTTTTTGAGTCGTAAATTAAGTCCGGTGGTAAAGAGGGAACCCAGGCTGCAATGCACAATTCTTGCAGGAGGGCCTGATATGATCATATGACTTGGGAAATGTGAAGATACGTTTTTAATTGGAAATTAGAAACAATGGGAAAATGTGAATTTCCCAATCAAGTATCTTTCAGACTACAGATCCTATCGACGCTGAATAGCATGCTACTAGCCATCTGATAGGAAATTACTCAAATTGAGAGCTGGAGGGATTATTCATATTTACAACAAAACACCAACAGCAATACATACCAACATAGTTTTCAACATCGCTGACATAAAACGTTGGTGCAGGTACTGACAGGCCCAAGCCATCCTTCTTCGGGATGAGAATAGGCTCTGTGAATCCGTTTTCTTCCAAATATTCAACTGTTAGTTGGCTTCCAGTCACTTTTATTACCACGTCTTCAGCACTAAAAATTCAAAAAAACCCAAAATTAGCAGTCCAATTATACAATAAATTCACACCAAAGTGAATTTAAGCATTTAAATAAAAGTTTAAGAAAGTTAAGTCTAGAGAAATATTAGTGGTAATAGGAATGCCAGATGGTTTCTTCATATATAATTTGATCCTGTGTTCAGATTTAGAACTATTGGCCATACTTAAATCTGTTAATATCAATGAAGCACAAACTTAACTTTTTCTAGATTACAGCTTGGCAAGCAATTTGTAAAATGAATTGTGCTACATACAATGGAATACAATATTAATATCCGGACAAGCCTAATCAGCTTTATAATACTTTATTCAAAATATAGTAAAATAAGTTCATCAGTATATTCCATATCCATAATTTTTGTTATGGCCAAAGTTCATTAGGCTTGTATCACTATACTAGGAAACTAATTATCACACAAGGTAAGCTCTGCGTCCAACTAACAGAGCTGGTCTATTATTTGAAGTCCTTAACATTAATATTTGATTTTGAATATCCACCCTATGCATTTTTTTCTTCCTTTCCTATTTTCTCTGACTCAGAAAATATCTCAGGAGCTAAACATTGGCCTCCTTTTTATTTTCTCTCTCTTGGGCACCCATGGCGATCCTCAAGAATTCCTGTAAACAAAGAGAAATATGCAAATTCCACCATAATTCACACAAGCAGCAAGTTACTAGAAAGAAGAAGAACAGGCTGCTCATTTGTCAAAGAAAGGAAGGATGGTAATAAACTTTTCCCAGTTTCCTGGCTGCACCTCTTAACATACAATATTTTTCAAACTGAATCACAATTTTTACTGTGGATCCATAGGCATCTTGAATATTTAGGGGGACAATTTCTTTCTTTTTTTATTGAAAAGTTTTACAAAAATTACAAAATATACCCCAAACCCACCCACCCCTACCCCCTACCTCCCTACCCCACTTCCCAGAAATGAATACAGGGTAACAGATATAATAATAATAGTCTAACTAACATTAACCAACTATGTAAATAAACAAATATAATGCACTTTACTCTCTTTTAACACAGAATAAACAATTTGCAAATAAACGTCATCATATAATCAAATTAAAATCCCAATTTATAAGCAATACAATAAAAATTCAACTACACTAAACTATTAATAATAATAATAACAATAATAATATTCAATAATTTATTCATAAAATAAATGGAACTTTTTAGTCCCATATTTATTCTGAATATAATCTATCCATCTTCTCCAAACCGAAATATATCTTTCTTGTGAATAATCCTTCAACTAAGCAGAAATCTTAGCCATTTCTGCTAAATTTAACACTTTAAGCGTAGGGGGACAATTTCTTGAATATAAAAACCACTGAATGAGACCCATTTCTACCCTAGTGATTTTTAATCTCTCCAGTCATTCGCCTGTGGTCAATCCAGAAGCCCTTAGATCAAAGGCTGCTTAACTTTTTGCCATCACACCTCCCTTTAGTGTAATCTTAATGTAATCCAAACACCAAAATGAACACAAATGAACAATGAAAATAATACAATGGAACTTAAAGAAAGATGGATTTAACAATATACAGCTAAAATATTCTTCACAGCCCTGGGTTCTGTGTGTACCTCCCCAAGGGAACTACACCTCACAGGATGGGAAACCCTGCCCTAGATAATGATGGAGAGGCAGATTTTGAAGATTCATTAATCACAGGATTATATCCTGCTGTGACTCTCTATACTATCCATATCAGCAGTCCTCAACCTTTTTGGCACCAGGGACCAGTTTCGTGGAAGACAATTTTTCCGTAAACCAGGGGTTGGGGTGGGGGATAATTTCACATGCAACCTAGATCCCATGCATGCACAGATGAAGCTTCACTTGCTCACTCACTGCTCACCTTCAGCTGTGCAGCCTGGTCCCTAACCAACCACAGACTGGTTCCGATCTGTGGCCCAGGGGTTGGGGACGCTTGATCTATACTATCTATACTATCATTCCTTCACATGTCTATATATCTTCCTTGAAGGGTTTAGCTCATGTGTTATTGTTATTCCTTGTTTGTAATTTTCTGTTTAGCAATGAGATGTTCGAGGAAGCTACTACTGAAAACCACCATAAGGTAGATCCATACATGTCCCTGTTTGTGTTATATATGGCAACCTGTTGATTTAGTCTCCTGACACTTCTTTAGATAGAAGAGCAAACAGTAACATTTCCAAATGGTCCCAAATTCTCTTTACAGGAATACTGTCTATTGCTAGAATTATGAAGCTTGACATTAAAGTTATTAGGAATTAAGAGTGGGTCTGCAAGTCATTTTGCTACATTCACTTGTTCAGCAGAAATATCAGCAACATTTTCCTCAATCACCATCTCCTCTTTTATTGCCATGGATTAAAAAAACTCAAGATATTTTCTTGGCATTCTTCTAGAACTATTCCTGGGTTGCTGGTGATGGTGAATCTGCTAGTCATGCCATTACCAATTCTTCTTCTACATTCCCAGAATAGTACAAACTTCTGTATTAAAAGTGAATAATAATTGAGCCAAATACCGGCCATTAAATTTTAGGGAGAGGGGACCATGACACCTCCTCATGAGAAAAGTCAGACATCACTCTTCCTCTACTTCTGACTAATCACCCTTAAAGATACCTGTGTGAGTAACAGATGCAAGATATAACACAGATGAAGAGAGTCAAATAGACAAAAGCATAAATCTATCAATAGGATCAATATGGGAGATGCTACTGACAAAGACAAAGAAATAAGGCAAACACGTGCACCTATGGAATCAAAAAATCAGAAGTGAATGTAACAGTTTAATGCATAACTGAGGAGAAAGCCTTAATCCAACTGAAAATGAATAATTAATGTTTAAAAAACTAAACTTTTAAAATATCAAATTATTATCTTTAAAAACAAAGTGAAGACCACAGAAAATAGAAGGATGGGTGGTTAAGCTAATTTATCTAAGATAAATTGAAGAAGAAATAAGGAGAATGGGAATGAAGATGTGTTTTTAAAAAATGTTTAAGGCGATCCTTGGAAGAGAAAGAGTCATTACACAGAGTCTGACTATAGCAACAGCAATTAAATACTCAATTCTCTTCCTATTCTTTCTACCACACAGGATCTTGAAATCCATTCAAAAAAGAATGAGAGGACAACTATGTCTTTCATGAAGACAACTTTTTGTCCTTGACAAAATGACTCAAATGACCCCAAAACACTGCAGTAGTGTTCTTGAAAATGTTCAAAATTCACATAATAGAAATATCAATTTTAAATAACAATATTATGAAAATAATCATCCATAACAAAACACCAGACTTTATATAAAAACATGTATGCTAATATGATTAAGACTCATTACATTTTGGCTACTGATGCTAAATCCTTCAATGGAACAGTTTACCCACTGATTGGCGATGTGCTTTTGGTCATCAAATCTGTAATACAGACTACCATCTTAGCTTGACAAATGCTAACCTAAATCCTGTTTGGATGTTTAGCAAAAGGTTAGATGTAACATTCCAATCAGCCAGCAGTTTGTGAAATGAGGCAAAACAACTTAATAGTAATATAGTTTCAGAATAGCTACTTTGAGAACAGCATCTCAGCGTCAAAGGAATCTCAAAAATACCTGAATATTTTGGTCAAACCTTCTTCTAAGCAGACATATTACTTTATTTTAGCCAACTTTACTTTGTTAAATTACTTTAGGTACTTTCACCTAAAGCACAGAATTTCATTGGGATGATAGCAGTTTTCCATCTGCATGCATCCATAAAGTTCCAAAATCCTTTTAGGGTAAAGCGTGAGCGCCCTCTTCTGTGCCTCTTTGAAACTACACTTCTTACTCTAAGCACACAAGTGGCTGTCAAGGGGGTAAAGCTATAAATGAAGGTATAAATTAAACTTTAAGAGATACAGAATTATTCATTATCATCTACAACTGGGGAAGTAAATTGTTTTTTTTAAAACCTAGCTTTTTAATGTCTTATTACTAATCCTGTCATGAAAATGAGTTTGCTTTGACTAATTCTGGCTTTCCCCCCCCCTCACCGTACTGTCAAAATGATTTGTAAAATTCAGAATAGAAATTCCTTAGTGCAATTCGTCTTAATTACTAAAGAGTGCCATTTAAGTCAATATATGATAATAGGGAAATCTTTCATTCTTCTCTTTTTATAGCTACTTTTCTTCAGTTCCATCTAGTTTAAAGATATGTTACTTAAGTAAATGAGGTCCTAATATTATGATAAGTGACCCGGTCCTCAGCATAATATGCAAAATATCCCACTCTTGATATTTACTCACTTTTGGACCTCCAGGATAAGGAAACCTGTATGAATGGATTTCTAAACCCACTTGTTTTATATAGTCCACTATGTGGGTGAATGGATGAATAAATACATTAATTAATTAAGGATCAGGTATAAGTTCCTATTAGATTGAAGAAAAAATACATGGAGAGCTGTTATTCTATCTCTCTTTTCCCCCATTCACTAACAAAGCTACAATAGCTTAGAGCTACGGTAGCTCCTTAATTTAAGGACAGTCAAGATGGAAGGGTCTTTTTTGGTATATAATGCAAGTAGCAGTTGAATATTAACAACCTGAGCCTATAAAGACAGATACGTTCTGACTGCTGTTGAAAGGGGAAAAAAAAGTGCTGAATATTTTGTTATGGTTGCCAATGTATGCAAACTCCACAGTTCAGCTTACAGAAATGCCACACTGTTATCCATACTTCTGATTTTAGTTCCAGGTCAAAACTGTGAAAACAAAGAGAACAAAACTTTTATAGCCAGGGATACTCCTATCAAACACTTAGCCTGGCTTTGTCATCTTTCACACCAGGTGTCCCCAACCCCCGGGCAGCAGCCCACTCAGAACCGGGCCGCAGAAGGGGTGGATGAGCGTGCATGCTTGCACAGCTCCACTTGTGCGAGCAATGGGCAAGTATGTTCGCCCGCCACTTGCATATAACCATTCCCTCTCCCTTCCCTCCCTGCCAGTCCACAAAGCTGGAAAGGTTGGGGATCGCTGTTTCACACCAGTCAGTCTGTCCAATGAAAACGTTGACATTTGCCCTTTAATTGCTTCTTATTCAGCTCAACATTTATAATGAAGAATTTCATGAATATCCTTTAGTTTCTGTTCACTACGTGATGAGGGATTAATTGCAGTTCCATTCCTCCCCTCCTTTTTTTTTTTTTAATATTATGGAATTGAACTGCAGTATTTTGTTTACCACTAGGGTGCACCAATGAATACAAGACACTTAGAGACTCAAAATAATCTAGCAGTGCCTCAGAAGTGCTAAATGTCCCAATAAGTTGTGAAAACAACTTATTTCTTTTCGTTGACCTGTACACTATATGCTGTTTCCACCACCCATTTTGGAGCTGTACCAGGCTTCCTAAGGATCAAATATGGTCCAGTATTTGTCAATAAGCAGAGCGAGGGATTTGCTTGGAAATTGTGCAGAAAGTTATGAGGCCAAAATCTGTAAGCTTATAATTTTACCAAGGAAAACTTACCTGCCCCAAATATTCCTTCTAATATTAAAGATAAAAGAATGGCATTAGCAACTTACCTGGGGAATGTACGACTTCGAAGTTCTTTGATAAACACTTGACTGCCATTCTGGACAGGCTTTACTTCTGTTGCTTGACCAGTGTCATGTTTGTGCCAATTTCTTTTCTTTTTTACTGAAAGAGAAAAAAATTAATGGGATTATATATAATGGGTGTGGGAGGATGACAATTTTGGCTTACCTATAAGGTTAACAGGACCTTACATACAGCATAATGATAATAATACTAATTTTAACAAAATAGTATAAAATTCATTTTTGTTCTGAAGAGACAGTTGACTTTTTTTTCATCTGTTTATAAATGTTAACACCGTGGTTTATATGAAGTATGCTGAACTGTGATAATTTGGTAACCCTGAAAGCAGCCAGCCATATAATTAACTATTGAGCTATACAGTTTTTATAAAACAAAATGTAAATCCTGGATAGAGTTCAGTTTTACTAAGCTACACTTTTAATCTCTCCTGTTAAGAGCAGCATTTCAAATTGCAATGTAGAACATATCATACATGTCAAGGACTGATGCAAGATAAAATTAAATCATGGTGTAATGTATTATTTACTTGGGCTTTGAATCATGTATGAAGGAAGAAAGTCCACCCAGGCAGATAACAAAGGCATAATAATCCATCTCTTTTCATAATGTTTATTTTATTGATTAAAATGTGCAATTGAAAAATTAATGAATTAAACCTAATGCCACAATGAAGGCTCACTGTTTAGCTGTTATTCAATAAGAAACAAAGGATGTGTCAGATCAGATTAAGCAAAGACATGAAAACTGAACTCTATATGTATAAGAACTCATGATTCAACCCTTTCAGTCATTTATTGTTCAGGATTATGATGCTTAGATGGTAATGCAAGTTTAATTATTGACAAACATTCATGGCCTATGAAAAGTTACAGTTTAGATATAATGGTTCTACTTTGCGAAATGGAGGGGAGCTACAGTCCCTATCAGAAAAGGGTTCTCTGTATATAATTGCTGTTGAAGTATCTTCTCGTCTGCAAAGGATTTTGATTCTCATTTTCAGTGGTGGGATTCAGCCACCAGTAGCTAATTTTTGTTGCCCAGGCCAAAATGGACTTCCGGAAGCAGCATCAACACAGAGAACCGGTTGTTCACATATCTGAATCCCACCACTGCTCATTTTGTCTAACTTATTTAAGGGAAGTCTCAAACTTTTCTGCTTGAGGTCTGGGGGGGGAAATGAGTTATCTAATAGAACATACAGAAGTTTCAGAGCAAAAAGAAAGCATCTCTAATTTTCTATGCGGAGAATATTTAAGAAATTCCTTTAGTAGTGCAGTTCCCAAAGTCCAGTACCTTATCAACTCATTAAATGTACACATTTCCTTCAAGATAAACTCTGATGCAATGTGTTGCTTTTCACTACAGCTAAAATGGGGACTAAAATGGTAAAGATTTTAACTTTACAAAAACTGTGAGGAAAGTTTGGCTGAGGGGTAATGACTGGCCTAAAATTACAAAATTTTCTTCGTAGCAGAGCGTGGGACTCTCAGACACTACGCTTTAACCACTGTGTCACATTGATTTTCTCTATATCTACATCTATGCCTGTATCTACATATGTGCCTAGTCATCAAGCCATTTTCTTTTGAGAGAATGAGCATTATACAAAGCAAAGAGAAAAATACGAGTAAAAGAAATGAAAGCCCAGGGGACAAGAGAAAAACAATCTAATTAAATATAATTTACATTAATATCATTTCCTATACATCTTTATACCTTTCTAGACATTCAAATCATTCTCGCCAACCTCTTTCATAAATTGCCTTTTGTTTTTAACCACTCTTATTGGTATAATTAAATAAATGTACTATAACTTTATAGCACTGCCTACACTATGAAATAGCCCAAGATCCAGAAGACTTCTGCATTACTGGCCTTCTAGAAGGCTTTTAAGAACTAGTGATTTCCCCAGACATTGGGGCAGGATGGGAACTGAACTCAGAATATGCATAAATTGGGATAAAAATATTATGGTGCCTTGGTTGTGTGAAATGGTTTTGTTTGTGTTGGGTTTTTAGTTTTTTAGTATGTTGTTGGAAGCGACTCTGGGTTATGCTGGATAAGGTGAACATATACATCTTATAAATACATACATACATACATACATACATACATACATACATACATTTTTATACATACATATATTTTCATACTCAGCTTTTGTGGAGAAATTTTATTGAAATCACCATTTGAAATAATAATTTGCTAAAAGTTCTTGTAATAATTTACTGTATAGGAAATGATCTCTTGCCTATTTACTACATCCAATTTGCTTTTCTTCGTAAAGTAATTCTCCTGCATAGAAAACATACAAAATCAAATGAAAGAGCCACGAGAGGTTAGTACATGTAGGAATATTAAAATAGAAGAAAACTTTGCTTGATTAAATAAAAACGAACACATATTTAGGAAATGTGGAAATAATGTTAGCTAGCAAAATGTGAAATATTATATCTGTCAAATTATTTGTTAGATTTTAATCCTACTTTTCCTCCCTGAAACTCAAACACTCACTCGGTTTTTCTGACAACATCTCTGGGGGTGAGAGACTGGCCCAAAGTCAGCCTATGAGCTTCCATGGTTGACAGTAGACTAGAACCTGGATCTCCCTGATGACTACACCTTAACCATTATTCTAGTGTCCTCACTAAAAAAAAAAAAGTGGAAATCTGTGATAATAATATCTTGCTATGGCTGCTAATAAAGTTTGCTAAGTTGTAGAGCATTATCCCATCATCATTATCACCATCATCATCATCATCATCATCATCATAGTAAAGTTGGAAGGGACCTTGGAGGTCATCTAGTCCAACCCCCTGCTCAGGCAGGAAACCCTATACCATTTCAGACAAATGGCTGTCCAGATTCTTCTTAAAAACCTCCAATGTTGGAGCATTCACCGCTTCTGGAAGCAGGTTGTTCCACTAGTTAATTGTTCTGTCAGGAAGTTTCTCCTTAGTTCTAGGTTGCTTCTCTCCTTGCTTAGTTTCCACCCATTGCTTCTTGTTCTGCCTTCAGGCGCCTTGGATAATAGCTTGACTCCCTCTTCTTTGTGGCAGCCCCTGAGATATTGGAACACAGCTATCATGTCCCCCTTCGTCCTTCTCTTCATTAAACTAGACATACCAAATTCCAGCAGCTGTTCCTTACATGCTTTAGCCTCCAGTCCCCTAATCATCTTTGTTGCTCTTCTCTGTACTCTTTCTGGAGTCTAGGGTCTCAACATCTTTTTTACATCGCGGTGACCAAAACTGGATGCAGTATTCCAAGTGTGGCCTTATCAAGGCATTGTAAAGTGGTATTAACACTTCACGTGATCTTGATTCTATCCCTGTTAATGCAGTCTAGCACTGTGTTGGCCTTTTTGGCAGCTGCAGCACACTGTTGGCTCATATTTAGGTGATTGTCCACTAGGACTCCGAGGTCCCTCTCACAGTTACTACTATTGAGCAAGGTACCCCCTATACTATATCTGTGCATTTGGTTTTTCTTGCCTAAATGTAGAACCTTGCTTTTTTCACCATTGAATACAAGACATGCTTGTCTTGTAGTCATAGTCCCTCTTTGTAACGTGCAAACAGTCCCATAATTTGGTTCAAGAGTTAACCACAACATTCCAGCTCTCAAAATTTTTGCCAGAGGTCTTATGAATTAAGACCTCTTTCAGGACAAAACTTAGATCATTTTTCTATCACAATAAAATTCAGATGCAATTCTGGCTTCCTTATTATTGAAGAACTACATTTTTAACAAATGCATATTTTTTTCTACATCGTAGCCTTCCAAAATGCCATTAAATCAAAATTACTGTTAATGTTGTATAAGGGAAACAATTTTCTAAAATAGCAAGCCAGCAGGCTACAGTGGCAAAGTAAAAAGCACAAGAAATTATTTTTATATCGACATCTGGAAGGCATCCATCAATGAAAGTGTCTGCCAGAAAAAAAAATCCTATAAGTTGCATAATAAGAACATTCAGCCCATATCCTTTGTACCTAAAATTCTGCAATAAATAATAGTGAGCTGAGAGATATGAGAAGACGGAACATTTTCCGACTTGTACCAAAAATAAATTAATTTCCTAGTTAATTTACCTCTACATTCTAATGTCAAGCAAATCCTTTTATTTACACCAAGCAAAATATCATGAAAGAGGGAGCATCATTTGAAGCCCTTCACAGCCTTCATCAAGCCAATCAAGTACAAAATATATAGGCATGCAACGACAATCAATTTAATATGCTTTTCTCCAGTCTGAAAGATAGCACAAAAGTAATGTATCATTATCTTTTCTAAGTAGACCCTTTCTCCTTTCTGGAATGAAGATGAATAGTATTGCTATCCTAACTATTTTCTGTGGGGCAATTAAGGCATAAAAAGGGGGTCACTAACTGTGGGGGAAACATTCACCAATTGTTCCTCCTCACATGGGCTGGGGAGGGCAAACATTCTGCCAGATGGCTGTGATGTGATTCAACTTCTTGGCTGTCCACCTCCATAAAAAGTCAGATCCTTCAGAATTTCTTTTATCGTGATTTAATGAAAGAGGCTCGGTTGAGGTATGATTATAGAAATCATAGCAACGAGATTGTCCTGTTTAGAATTCAGTTTATGTTCAAGATTCCTATGATAGGGATTCTCATCTCTTATTCAGCTCCTGTATCTCTTGAAAGTGCTATGTTTAGAATGTGAATTGATTTTAAATATGCCATCACAGGAGTTGTAGCCATTTGTCAGAACTTTTTAAAAGGTAAGCGCTTCTGTAGCAAGCTTAGTGCAAACTGCCTGTCAAACAAAGGAAGTATAAAAAGTCTTGGCTGACAGATTGGTCACTTTAGAGAAATCATGGCTTACAGGACTGTCTAGTGATCTTGTAGTATCTTAGTCAACTGAGAGGCTAAAACTATTAACTACCGTGTTCCCCCCAAAATAAAACCTATCGCGAAAATGAGCCCTAGCTTGATTTTTACTTGTGCACCTAATATAAACCCTACCCCCAAAATAAGCCATAGTTAGGATCCCACCCAGTGCGTCCCACCATCTGGTTGCACGAAGTGTGGCAAGGTGCACATGTAAAAGTCAAGCTATGGTGGGATCGGGGTAGAGTCGCCCCATGTACCCCACACCTGCTTACTACAGGACCTCCAAAGCCAGGCCTCCCATGCCCTGACACCTGCCTCACCTAGTGGTGGAGGCACCGACAGCCGCATTCAGCAGAGCCCAGATGGCTACAGCAGTCCCACTTCTTTTACGGCCACTTGCCACTGCTCGCGCACGTTGCCTCTGGCCTCAGGAAAGGCCTCTGCAGCCCAGAACAGAGCTCCGAGTGGACACGCATTTCCTGAAGACCTCTGCTGGCAAAATGGAGGCCAGGGGGTGATGTGCCCATGTGGGGGTGAGCGGTCGCAGAAGAAATAAGGCAAGACAGTGGGGGGGGAAAGAATCTCCCCAAAATAAGACCTAATGCCTCTTTTGCAAGAAAAAATATAAGACCGGGTCTTATTTTCAGGAAACACAGTATTGACAAAGTAGCCTGTGATCACTAGAAAAAGCAGTAGACCAGATTCTCTTTAAACAGGTACTGGTCTCCTACTATTTGCAGCAATATTGATAATAATGATGTTGATGAGATGATGATGATGATGATGACGCTCTTCCAATATCATCCCAATCCATCAGCACTAACCAAAATGTTTAGGAAAGTCAATGATTTCACAGAAAAGGGCACAACTAATAGCTGAAAAGAATCAGTAAGTCATTGCTGCAGCTGCTTACAAAGGGACACAAGCATTTATATAGCATGCTTAGTGTTAGAAGAAGACAGAAAACACTGCTTCCATATTGGATCAGAAAAAATATTTAGTTAAGCTAGCTGTGGATTGGGAATGAGAGGAAGGCTGTGACATGTAGACATGTTTTTAAAGAATGATTAGGGCATTGTGTCAAAGTTAAATGTGTGGAATGTTTCCTATGAAACGTAGATTCTCAGAGCCAATTCAGATTATGGTTTGGGTTTAGCAATATGAGTCTTATAAATATTAGTCTATACTAGACTAGAATATTCTTTATTGGCCAAATGTGATTGGACACACAAGGAATTTATCTCCAGTGCATAAGTTCTCAGTGTACATAAAACCACAAAGTAATACAATCATAAGATACCAATAGCAGAAGGTACTAGGAAAAATGAGAAGAATAAAACACAGCCCTACAACATGGGTCAATATCCTTAGACATATTATTTAAAGCTGTTGTATTTTATAGTATGAAAATGTATCCCAAATGTTTCCTGGTCAAATAAAATGGCAGTAGAAGGGTTGTGCAACATTGTAATTTGTTAACATTGCTTTCAACTTTGATTTATAACCTAGAAAACTTATTTTTACTGATATGAGATGCAAACATGTTCTTTCAATCTCATCAAAACAATGTTATAACCAGGTTCAGTTATAATATTGTGCAGATTATGACACCAAATGGCCTCCAGTCTTCTTGAAACTAGTCAAAATAATTGTAAATGTCTCAATTCGAGAAGTATCAAGGTTGTAGCACACTGTATCTAGCCAGAGTTATTTAGTGCTTGGACTGCATAATTTGCTTCGGTTTAGAGAGATTCAGTTACTTTTGCAACCATGAGCAAGACCTTTCTGAGTTATAACAAAGTTATAATTATTGCCCAGTTCTAATTATATTTTTTGCAGTACAATATCAGAAGATGTGGAGAGACTGGCCCATAGAATTATCAAAAGTAGAACACAACTGAATGGATCACATCATCAACAACAACAACAACAACAATTATATTTTTAGTCATATTACAAAATATAGTGCTTCTTAGTGTACAAAAATTAACCTCTGAGATGCCAAGCAAATTAATGGTTAGTTTTAAACAGATGTATATTATATTTAGATTTCCTATATAATGTATTTGTATAAAACAGCTTACAAAAAGAAGCCATCTGTTATGAGTCATATATTCAAATGCTGGAACATTATGTATGTATGCATTAACTTTATAGATTGTTGCCATCCCCATTACTGGAAGACACAATGGCTCAAAGGCTTAATGACCCTGGAGACGGTCTCAGCTCCAGTGGTTCGAGCCCTAGCACTACGTGGCAGAGTGAGATCCTGTCAGTCCTCTCAGCTTCTGTCCATTTGAAAGTATGTCCTGTCCATTTGAAAGCATGTTCTGTGCAAGTAGATAGATAGGTACCACTTTGGTGGGAAGATGGGCTGGTGCTTTGTGCAGACAGTTTGATTCCTGATGGCTCTGAACCTTCCCAATTGCAAGGCAGCTCTGGGAAGGGAAGAGGCCTTAAGTGACAGGAGTGCAAGAAGAGCCACTCATTTTATTCTCTGGTGCAAAGGCAGCTCGCCATCCTGCGGTGCATCTTGGGAAGTGCACAAGAGTTTCCTATAACAGGGCTCGTACTTTGGCAAGCCAAACTACTACTCTGCAATAGCATTGTGGTCTCCTGGCTACTGTAACAATGCCATACACTAATAGTTATAATAATAATAATAATCCACAATATACTTGTCATAAATCCTGAAATAGTATAGTTGGTCATCCTCTCAAAACAAGTTTATGAGTTTTTATTTTGAACATCAAAAGTTTAGAGGATGTTTTTCAAAACTAACATAAGTGGAATTTATTATTTCTGAAAATATGCTGCAATCAAGAACAGTAAAACATATCTGAGATACAGCTAATAGAATTGTACCAGCAAACCACATACAGTTTTGACAAAGAAAAATAGAAAAAAAGGGAACCCAAATTTTAATAAATTATTCCCTCTTTATTCAATGTATCACTAGGGTTTTCACAGAGGTAATCTTAAATTGTATATTTAGTAATCCAAGAAAAGTATTTTATATAATAGTATCTCACCTATTTTTTTATTTTTTTCATTCTTGCTAGCATACCTATCTTTAACTGTTGGTTCACATTCATACATTGAATTACTTAAGTTTAGTTTTCAATCATAATTTTAAAAAATCACGTGTATGGCTTTGTTATTAAGGAAGAAAACAATCCAAGGAACCAAAAAAGAAAATTAACATTTTATTCCTTATAAGAAGGTCATTATTGATACGGGAGATGCTTCTTTCCCAGGTAACTTATTCAGTTTGAAAATTATTCTCTTGACAGAAATCCTTTTAGATGTTCACATTCTGAAGGAGCTTTTACAATTTCAATCCTATTTTTAAAAAGTTGTAAATATTGAGACTTTATAATATATTCTTACTGCTTGCCCAAAACAGTTTGCTACATTGTGTCACATCACTAAATTATGATTAATATCTGAAATCTCTCTCTCTGTGTGTGTGTGTGTGTGTGTGTGTGTGTGTGAGAGAGAGAGAGAGAGAGAGAGAGAGAGAGAGAGAGAGAGAGAGAGAGGGAGGGAGGGAGGGAGGGAGGGAGGGAGGGAGGGAGAGATATTTTCACAGACAAATTCATATGAAACAACTCATATCACATTTGCACTGAAATATTACATTGGCTGATTAGCTTCTCTTTTTTAATATTTGTAAGTATTACTATGAATTCTAGAAGAATTTATATATTCAAGATAGCAAATATCATAAAGTCAATTTCTGAAACAGGAGGATAACCTGACAAAGGAATATACTTACAAGTAGATTTTCCATGGGTTTTCTCACAGTTTGGACAGTGGTAAATATCAATATCTGGTGCCTCATCTTCTTCTACACCAACACAGCTGAAATTTATAAAAGAACAAGTCATTGTTAAACAACAATATTAAGCAAAATCATCAGATATTTCAAGACATAACAACTCTTGTGTCCAAGGTCCAACCTTCTTAAATTCTATAACAGGATCTTGGCTGACCTTTGTCAGTTTTGTGTGGTACTGGGAAATTAATGTACTTCAGTCTCCCTACTAAGATAATGTGTCAGATTACAAGTGATCAGGTGGATCTGGGTCATATGAACAGTGCAATAGCATAGCGTAACTCTGTTTCTTTGTTATAGCTAAATTAAGTGTCAAAAGTAATACCAAAGGCATACATATTTTTCATCTGGTGAAGCTAGGCCATAGGGACCTCTAATTTCTTAGTCTAAAGTCATATTTTTTTATTTAAAAGTGGTATTTTTTATTTAAAAAGTAAGTAATACTCTCCCCTCCAAAAAACAAAATTATATAGAGGGTGCCATTGGATGAGAACTAATCGGAAATATATTTTGTATTTTTGTAATTGTATTTTTCACTTGTTTTACAAATGTCATTTTAATTCATGCTTTGCTACATGCTTATCCTTATGGAGTATAGGAAGATGTCATCTATGACATGGCTACAAATATAGAATTATGGTGTTGTTGTAGAATTATGGTGGTTACTCCCATTTTGTTTTCCTTTAATAGATTATAATTGCAAAGAAAGCTTGAAAATCAAAGGATGCTTCTGCTGAATAGTTAAAAATTGCTAAATGGAACACATTCACAGCAAATAAACTCTTAACATATTCCAAAAATTACTATTGTAATTATTGTTCCAAATATTTACAAACATACACCCTATAGTTACATTTTTTTTCTCTCACACACATACACACATGGAAGAAAATGTAGCAATACCCAAATAATTTGAGCAACCAATTTTAAGTATGAAACTTCATGCACAGATACCCATTCCATATAATTTGCTCTGAATATCAAAAGCGATATTTTATAGAGCAGAATTCTATCAGAGCAGAGTAGAATTGTATCCTTAATAACTGGAAAATCAGCATGAAGCATTGAGCTGAATTTATCAATTCACCCCTTTTCTGGCACATAATCATATATAATTTGGGATCTCTCACTTGTACAAGTATTTTGCTACCAAAATTAACCTCTGCTGCCCAGAGATGAACATAAATACATCTTGAATGTCAGAAACATATCACACACTCAGAACACCCAGTGAAGTTGGTATCATACAGTATCATGCAACACTGTGCAATCATCTGAATGCAAGCCAGTAAAGAAACAAAACTGCAAAGGGGCCATATATCCAATGCAAGGACCTTTCTCACAGGGCATCTGGTTGAAAGTTATCATGAGGAGGAAGGGAAAGAGTGCAGCTGACCAAATAGGAGAAGGAACTTGTAGCCTTCCAGATGTAACTGAATATCTAGCAGCCATGGTCAACATGCCCAAAAGTAGGAAACATTGGAATTTGTGCTTCAGTGATATTTGAATAATATCCTCAAGTTACAACAGTTCGTTTAGTGACCATTTGGAGTTACAATGGACCATTGCAGCATCCTCATGGTCATGTGATCAAAATTCAGACAATTGACAACTGACTCATATTTATGACAATTGCAGTATCCCCGGGACAGGTGATTTTGTGAACTTCTCACAAGCAAAGTCAATGGGGAAGCCAAATTCACTCAACAACTGTAGTGATTCACTTAACAGATGTGGCAAGGAAGGTCATAAAATGGAGCAAAACTCACTTAACAATCATTTCACTTAGCAACATAAATGTTGGGCTCAGTTATGCTCTTAAGTCGAGAACTGTCTACATTTATTTTAATAGTATGCAGACATATTGCTGCTTCTAATAAAGCAACTACACAAAGCAACTAAATCTTCCTGTACAAAACCTTAAAGAATAGCAAGCATCTTCCATTCTTTTAGCTTTGTAAATTGTTGATGCTGCACAAACTGTGGGGTTCTGCGGTCTTCTTCCATCATCCCAAAAAAGAAACAGCAACAGAGCTGAAACTACTATAGGCTCTATACATTTTAAGGAGCGGTCTCTTATTTCTGCCTCCACTGCATTGCACTGAAGCACTTTCACAAAGCTTAAATTCAACTGATAATGTGTCTTTAAACTAAAAATATTGAGACTAAAATCTTCCAGGCAATTAATATTACTTTTAAGAGTTGGAGATACTGTCTTCAAAATCCTTCTCCTACCTATTAAGTGATTGTTGTTTGATCATAGCTACAAATTCCAACAGATTTATAATTCTATTAAAAGTTAAACAATTTCAAAGGAATTCTTAGCTCTTTGTTCATGACAACTTTTTGTCAGTGTCTAAGGTGAGTTTTGGATGTATTTGTGTGTGAATGTGTGCACATGTTCCAGCAAATACTTCTCTTTTATAGTAATATTCACATTATCCAGGCTAGTTATTATGGAAGCAAAATGGATCCATGAACAATCAACAGATCCATACACAAACATGTCTGAATACTTAGAGAAATCCCAAGTTATACAGAAAAATATTTACTCAGATAGTTATCCATAAGATTTTCTCTAAATAATTATCCATGGGATTTTTCTCATGATTATTAGGTTCCACATGCTCTGTCCTTCCACATTTGAGGACAATATACATGTTCTCTCAGTTCCAATGGAAAATTTTCATCCAATTTCTAAGATGAAAAAGTGAAGATTAATTTCCTGCCACGTAATGTGACAGCTGCAGTTCTTATCCAGAATTCCTGAATTAAGTTTGCCATTATAAAACATCATCTTGAGTTCTTTTGCAGTGTTTAGGCAGGATGCAAATAAATATATAAATATCTTAGTTGTGACATTATTCAGTTATTCAAAAACCTTGAGATGAGACCCAACCTGTCCAAATTCTTCCCACTATTATTGTTACCTGTGATCCATAGTATTTGTAACTATAACAGAATAACAGAATTGGAACAGACCTTGGAAGTCTTCTAATCTAACCCCTTGATCAGGGAAGAAGAGAGGGAGAGGGAGAGAAAGCTGTACCATATCCAAAATTTGTGCTCCATTAGTATAAATTACACCTTTATGGATTACTGCCTTGTCGTGGCGAAGGGGCTTGCGTAACTCAATGAATCTATGAGCTATGCCGTGCAGGGCCACCCAAGACGGACAGGTTATAGCAGAGAGTTCTGACAAAATGTGATCCACTGGAGAAGGAAATGGCAAACCACTCCAGTATCTTTGCCATGAAAACCCCATGGACAGTACTAAAAGGAAAAAAGATATGACGCTGGAAGATGAGCCCCTCAGGTCGGAAGGTGTCCAATATGCTACTGGGGAAGAGCAGAGGGCTAGTACTAGTAGCGCCAGAAAGAATGAAGTGACTGGGCCAAAGCCGAAAGGACGCTCAGCTGTGGATATATCTGGTGGTGAAAGGAAAGTCCGATGCTGTAAAGATTTTTTTCTCCATAGGAACCTGGAATGTAAGATCCATGAATCAAGGCAAGCTAGACGTAGTCAAAAAAGAGATGACAAGACTGAACATCGACATCTTAGGAATCAGCGAACTAAAATGGACAGGAATGGGTGAATTTAACTCAGATGACCATCAGGTATACTACTGTGGGCAAGAATCCCTCAGAAGAAATGGAGTAGCCTTCATAGTCAATAAAAGAATAGGAAAAGCAATACTGGGATACAATCCCCAAAATGACAGAATGATCTCAATTCGAATCCAAGGCAAACCATTCAATATCACAGTAGTCCAAATCTATGCCCCAACCACTGCTGCTGAAGAGGATGAAATTGACCGGTTCTATGAAGCCCTACAGCACCTTATAGAATTAACACCAAAAAATGATGTCCTTATCATCATGGGGGATTGGAATGCTAAGGTAGGAAGCCAAAAGATAACCGGAATAACAGGCAAGTTTGGCCTTGGAGTACAAAATGAAGCAGGGCACAGGCTGATAGAATTTTGTCAAGAGAATACGATGGTCATAACAAACACTCTTTTCCAACAACCCAAGAGACGGCTCTACACATGGACATCACCAGACGGTCAACGTAGAAATCAGATTGACTATGTGCTCTGCAGCCAAAGATGGAGAAGCTCTATACAGTCAGTAAAAACAAGACCAGGAGCTGACTGTGGCTCAGATCATGAGCTTCTCGTTGCAAAATTTAGGCTTAAATTGAAAAAAGTAGGGAAAAGCACTAGGCCACTCAGGTATGAACTAAATCATATTCCTGATGAATATACAGTAGAGGTGACAAATAGATTTAAGGAACTGGATCTGATAGACAGAGTGCCTGAAGAACTATGGATGGAAGTTCGCAACATTGTACAAGAGGTAGCAACTAAAACCATCCCAAAGAAAAAGAAATGCAAGAAAGCAAAATGGCTGTCTGAGGAAGCTTTGCAAATAGCTGAGGAAAGAAGGGAAGCGAAAGGCAAAGGAGAAAGAGAAAGATACACCCAATTGAATGCAGAATTTCAGAGAGTAGCTAGAAGAGATAAGAATGCCTTCTTAAATGAACAGTGCAAAGAAATAGAAGAAAACAACAGAATAGGGAGGACCAGAGATCTCTTCAAGAAAATTGGAGATATGAAGGGAACGTTTCATGCAAAGATGGGCATGATAAAGGACCAAAATGGCAGAGACCTAACAGAGGCAGAAGAGATTAAGAAGAGATGGCAAAACTACACAGAAGAACTATACAAGAATGAGCTTAACATCCCAGATAACCACAATGAGATGGTCATTGACCTCGAACCAGACATCCTAGAATGTGAAGTGAAATGGGCCTTAGAAAATCTGAGCAACAACAAAGCTAGTGGAGGTGACAGTATTCCAGCTGAGCTATTCAAAATCTTAAAAGACGATGCAGTAAAAGTGCTACACTCAATTTGCCAGCAAATTTGGAAAACTCAACAGTGGCCACAGGATTGGAAAAGGTCAGTTTACATTCCAATTCCAAAGAAAGGCAATGCCAAAGAATGTTCAAACTATCGCACCA